TGTATTCAAAATGTAAAGCCAGGCCAGTGGAAAAGTTGAAACCCAAATGGGCCAAATGGCCTAAATCTGTTATACTTGTAACCGGCAAAGACCCCGTTGACCCTGCAAAGACCCCTTGATCGGGACGGATTCAAGGAATCCCTCAAGGGTCGAGGATGGGCCCGGGGAATGAGATCCCCAGCCCAGGCCCATCATTGGGCGTTTAACAATTATAAAAATTAGCCTATTAAATGATATCGTAATTTGGAACCCATCTTTATAGGTGCAAGACCTAATACATTTTTATCAAATTATAATCGTAACACTTGATAATATTATGTACGTTTGGTTTATTGTTTTTATCATATTACCAATCCTATTCTCCAAATATTATTCCCAAAATATTAGTATATTTTTTTAATTTTTTAGACCCCATAAGTTTATTAATCTCAAAATACCCCAAAAAAAAGGTTTAAAAACTAACAAAAACACCCCCACCCACAATACTTGCCAGATTCTGACAACCACCACCGGTGATAGCTGAAATTTATCACAATAGTTACAGGAGCACCAAAAATGGTCAGTAATGACCGGAAAAGGCCAGATCTGACAGTCAGCGACGGCTAAAAAAATTGTCGGTGTTGACTGTCAACGACGGCTACATCTTAGCCATCGTTGACAGACAACGACGGCTACATCTTAGCCATCGTTGACAGACAACGACGGCCATATCTTTGGGAGTCACTGACAGCCAAAGTTGGCCTTTTTCGGCCGTCAAAGGCCACATCCGGCCTTAGATCTGGCCTTTTCCAGCCAGATCTGTGATGGATATGGCCAAAAAAGATCATATCGATCAAATATCTGCCAGATCCGACCGAATTTTGTGGTTATCCAATTTTCCGACCAAATTCCGACGGTGGTGGCTGGAATCTGGCACTTTGGGTGTTAGGGGTGTTTTCGTTATTTTACAATATTTTAATATATTGAGGTGTTTATTAAATTAGCAAACCTTGGGGGCTTTTTAATAAATTTTCAAATTTTATCTTGTAATACTCCCCTATTCAACTATCCAATACTATTCCCAAAATCCTACCCAAAATAATAAACCAAACGCACCCATTATGTGTTTTAGTTTATTTAATTTAGTTTTCTTTTATATATATAATATTACAATAATATTATACTTACAAAGATTTCCATATAAAGTGAGATGGCAAAAAATAAATAGAAGAGTTAAACAAAAAGTCAAACTCATTAAATTTACTATTCCATTCATTTTTTGCCACATCACTTTATATGAAAATCTTTGTAAGTGTAAATATTACTCATAATATTATTTGTTATCAATTTACAATAAAGGTTTTTTATTGAATGATTTTGAAGGTATAAAAGAGGAATTTTGTATCTTTTTAAATTGTATTTTTCAAACTTTATAGCAAAAAATCTCTTATTATTCAAATTAAAATCTTCATCAATTTTAAATAATTTTTTTAGTTTTTTATTTTATTTTCAATTCAGTTAAATGTTGATTTATTGAAATTATTAAAATAAATGAAAAATAAAATCAAATTTTTTCATTTGTATACCATTACTTTTCAGAGTTTTTTTATTCACACGTCCCATATGTTTGAAGAACTATCACTAACACCCTCAGATTCACTAAAGTAAAATAAACAATGAAGAGGACACAGCAACACATCTCTCAAACTAGCAACAGTTCGATGGCGAGGTTCTCAAGAAGACAACAGCGCCAACAGTTGCCGCAAAGTTTTCAATTCCTCTACCCAAGAAGGCTGTTTTCGCCTACAAGAAGAGCCTTTCGTTGGCTCCTAATAACCCTCGCCTTCATCGCCATCGTTCCTCCCGTTTTCTTCCACTTCAGACTCCGCCACTTTCACCAAGTAAGTAGAATGAATCTCTATTTGTCTCTTTGATCCATCTGTCTAGTTTGTTTAAATGCAAATCAAAACTTATCTCTCTTTGTCTCTTTGATCGAACTTTCTAGTTTGTTTAAATGCACATTGTTTAAATGTAAATTGTATTAGTTTGGAAGGCCTGCTTTTCTTGAGTAGATCTGTTCATGTTTGGTTGGGTTTTGAAGTAAGCCCTTGCGTTAATTAAATTATGTTTTGCCCTTTTTTTTTTTTTTGGGAAAAAAGGTGAGAATTGTACCGAATATAATTAAAGTGGAGGACTAGGGCTAGGGATACAGTAATGTTACCGAACCAGCACAGCCCTTGCGTTAACTGAAACTCTTTTTCTTTTTTTGGGAAAAAGTGAAGCTAATGTACCGAATTTAGGTATATTGAAAGACTATGGCTTCAGTTTTTCCTGTAACGTTACTGGGCTGTGTTACTCGACCACTGTACTTTTACCTGATCAATAGGTTTTGCTACTACTCTCATCGGTGGTGGCTTTTGTTTCTAAATTTTCTTTGAATGTGAAGGGGTGTGTTGGTGTTGTGGTAAAAGTTACTGGACCAGCGCTGTAGTACTCGTGTTATTAAATTGTAACCATTTGGTTTTGTAAACTGTAATGTTCAATCACATATTTAGTAAAACATTGTATTTTTCCTTTGAATGAGGAAATAGGGCTGTGGGTGTTGTTTAACCTTTATTTTTTGCTTTGATTGATCTTCCAGAGGTTTAGGGTTGTCTTAAGGAAGCCTTGTTATTCTGCTTGATTAGATTAGTGCATATCTAGTTGGGTTTTTTGTTAATGCTGCTGGATCCAGCACAACCCTTGGATTTACCGAATTTCTTTTTCTAGAAAAGAAAGGTGATGCTAGATATAGGTATATAGGGTTATACTAAGGTACACCCGAGCAACATTACTAGGCGTTAAATAACCTTGTCAACCCTTAGACCATGATTCAAGGGTACCTGCCCGGTAATGTAATTCTGGGGTAAGAGAATATTTCCATGTATATAATACATTGAAAGATTTGGGCGGTTTTATGTATGCCAGGAATGATATGCTACCAACCCCAGTATTGTTCCTTGATCAATGAGTTTTAATAATGGTGTTTACTAGAATCTCTGAGAATACGGTGAAGTAGTCATTTTTTTAATATTTCTCTCTTAAATTTTCCAGCCTATGGATACTGACCTGGTAATGTTACTGGGCCAGTGCTGACATTGTAAATTTCTCCAACTAGTAATTTATGATGTTAATTTAATGACAAGCAATTATGATATTTGTATTCTTCAACAACATTGTGTAATCTTATTTTTGTTTGCCTTTGAATTGGGGATAAGATTTGAATATCTTGATAGTTATAATTTGGTATTGTTGTTGATATACCGTGCCTACTGTAGATACAAATATCCATGTATTAATTCTACTTGATTTTTTGCAGATGCAACTGGAGAAGTGTGGTTGGCTGAATGATCCTCCTTTTGTGTGTGCTCATGGTGGTGACTCAACAAACGCATTCCCAAACACTGTAGGCATCCTGTTTTTACTTTTGGTTTCTTCTTCTTTATAGTTTAATTAGGAGCCATCACAGCGTTATTCAGTTTTCTGTTTGGTTTTTCTTTTTCCTACAAATATTGCATCCAAGAAATTTTGTGCCACTTAAGGTGTGCTGCAGGTTCAACCTGATCAAGTTGCAATGATGTGGTCAATCTAGAACTACTTAAATTATAGAAAGTAACTGAAAATCATAAGTAAGGTCCACAAGTAAAATAGTGAGATTGGAGGACATAGAATATCTATACATCTTTGTACATGGATTTGTTCCTTCAGAGTCTTTTCTTTCTTAATGTTAAAAGATTTAAATTTTAATTATTATCTTTCTGTTATTTTTCATTATCATTAGATGGCTGCATATCGATCTGCTCTTCATTCTCAAGTAGACTGCATTGAAATTGATGTTTCTCGTTCATCAGATGGAGCTTTGTTTGCTCTTCATGATAGGTAATTAATCACTGTCTATTTCCCAAGTAGCAGCTAATCAAATCAATAGTTGAGAGTTCTTTACTGCTCAAAGAATACTTCCTTTCATTTTTATTTTTTGGCTGTTCCATTGTTTGATTATCAATTAATTGAGTGTGGTTTCTTCCCTGCTGAGGGTTTGGGAGGTAATATGGCTTAAAATATGTTTTGGTTGAGGTATTGTGTTGCTCGCTGTTGATATAGATCATTGATGGTTTTATAACTTGGCATTGGTTTTATCTAGTAAAATGCAAATACTAAGAGATAGTGCCTTTTTTGGGTTGGTAGTGGTATTAGTATTTGACCTTGATAAGTAAAGTTAAAATCTGGAGTACATTATTTGCAGCATTGATTATCCTTTTATTGTGTAGTGAATCATTTCTTATTTATCTTGGAGTATGATAATTTTATATTATAACCTTGAAAAATATTTCTGAAGCTGCTTGGAGATTTGATTTTCACATGACACAGGCAGGGATTTGCAGCGGATATCTGTTAACAGTACTTCTAAAGTTGGGCACTTGAGCATGAAAGAGGTGAAATGCATTGGCTGTTTGTCTTTTTAATTATGTCAAGCAATTCCTTAGTTATAGTAAGTCCAGTCATATGTTTAGTCTTGTGTATCATACATGGCTTAAACCAGGTTGTTTTTTAACAGAACTGTTTTATTGGTTAGCTAGTTTCCTTGTGTTTGGCTGATGTTGATTGAGATTATATGTTAGTTTGTGGTTTTAGATAAAAGGATTGGGTGCCTCACATCAGGCTGATCACAAGTCAAATGATCGAGAAATTCTGACTATTGAAGATGCTTTGATGGTAATTTCAGGATTTACTCCTAATGCTTTGTGTGTGCTGTCCTTGTGTATTTGTCTTTTTTCTCGCTTTTAACATACTGTTTCTCTTTGACCCTTTTTTGTGTAATGATGTCTAAAACCTTTTGAGTTAAATATAACTTCACCATCATCTTTTGGCATTCTGTTATTTTTCATGTATTATTTTGAAGCTTTGACAATGAGGTTCTCACTATGTTTGAATGGTTGTTTTCAGTTTGTATCAAATTCAGTAAAGCAGGTAATTCTGGATGCAAAGGTTGGCCCACCCTTGTATGAAAAGGGGCTTGCAGAGGATATTCTTTCTGTTGTGAGTTATTTTTGCTCTTCCGCTCCTCTAATCTTATTTAATAATGCAATTCTAATGCATGATTTAATCTGTTTTTTCCCCATTTTTGTTTTTTCTCATGAGAACTACCAATAGTTTCAGTAAGTAATTTAGCTATAGATGTAGCTTAAGACATCTTAGTTTAATTACTGTGATATCAGTGCTTTCTATTGAGCATCATGAGTGATAAACATGGTTAGGTTTCTTCAAATCATTATAGCCAACTTTGACCAGCAATTTCGACCAAATCTCAGAGAGTTCTCGGTTAACCACCCATTGTTTTGAAGTTCCCTCGCACCCTTACTTTTCAGCCCAATTCGTCCCTTTTTTTCCTTCTATCTTGGAGATCGAAACAACAAAGGAAGCCATGTCTTTTTCATTTTTCAACCATCTTCAGCCTTTTCTTTTTGTCTTACCAGATTGAACCTTCTTTCACAAAGTAGTCCTATTCTAGAGTTGTCACTTGAGACAACTTGGAGCTCAAGTGGGTTATTTATTTTTGGCATATCAATGTTTCAATCCTATTATGTTTATTTTTATTCATCCTACAAAGTTTTTGTTAGCATTTGCTTATATGACAGTATAAAGTTTTGATATAGCATCTTTTCAATCAATTTAGTGTTTCTGTAAAGTTTTAGTGTATTGGAATGTTTATATTTGACATGAAAATTTAACTTAAGCAGCATGTATGTTGGAGATCAAATTTGATTTTAACACGTATTTACAAATAAGGGTCTCGGAATCAGTTATTAGTGCTTCATAAAACAGTTTATTTTTAAACCATATCCTCTCACTAGGCCCAATTTGGCATTTCTGTTGGTGGCTAAGTTGCTTATCCAAGATTGGATGCCTAGTAAACTCTGATGTGGGATGTGGCTAGTGATGCCTGCCGAGCCAAGTTGGTGATGTTTGCACAATAATTGTACTTTGTTGTCCACTTATCATAATACATTCTTGATCACTCGTGGTTAACTTTGTGTAGTTTATTGGTGTTTGGATGACATAGTTTTTTTGTAGTTATGACTACTAATTTGCTTTCTGGTGGTGGTGGTTATGTCCGTAGAACCTTTAATACATGGTGGTTACATAATTAAAGAAAATGGTGATTCCAATTAACATTTGAGGTTTTTCTTATATTCCTCAAGGGCATTTGACTAAAACACTCATGTCAAATGTCAACTAACTTTCAGTACTCTAAAAGGATGTAGAACCAACAGTAGCAGTTGGCTATCATTATTTTTAATTGACATATTTGTCTAACAACTATGGCACTAGGGTTTTAATTACAAACAATTTCAGGTTGAAAGGACACGGTGTAAGAATTGCCTTATTTGGGCCAAAAGCGACAATTTAGTAAGGGATATAATCAGACTGTCATCCGATGTTACGGTAAGAAGTTGCACCTCTTATCTCTTCTGGATTTTCTCATTATTGATGTGAACTATCATATGATTTTTCTGTCTCTATAACCTACTATAAACGTTGGAGAAGAATAGCCATTTGAAGAAAAGAAGCTCAAACATGAGATATGAAATTATGAATGTATGAACTCATAGGAAATATGTATTTCAGTAATTCCTTGAAATATGGAATAATTTGTTGGTTTGAGCATTGATGCACATCTTGGTAATAAATGACAAGTTGGAATTTTTTTAATAAATTGAAATATAATTATTGTTCTCCCTTTTTCAACAATTTGTATAACTTTGCTTCATATTTTTAGGTCGCATGAACATTCTTCTATTTTGCACACCATCAAAATTTTCTTTAACATCTAATTTCTATCACTATCATTATTGTTACACTTTCATGCAAAACCAAATAGTATATTTAGGCTTGATGCTTTTATCTAAGAGATGTACATGTTCTCATTTGGTTAATTTATAATTGTTATTGCATCTAGCACAAGCAAAAAAAGTGGCCATAGCATAATCATGACGAACTTTAGCTCCAAATGTTGGTGAAGGATTATAAAATTCATTCATTAATATTTTTAGTTTGATTTGATTGCATTTGTTAGAATAAAGAGAAATAGAAAAAAGTTTAAGCAGAATGTATATTAAATAGTTGAGAAAGTGAAGAAAAAAATTTGGAAAGCCAATTTATAGGGAAGGTAGCGTAGTGTCTTTCATCTCTTGGGGTTATTTTTAAAGTACAAATAATGAAGATAAATTTTTTCATGGGTTACAATTTTGACTTCTTATCACTATATATGCGTGTTGGTCAAGACATTTTTTAACTATAAGTGGAACTGGCGTGACAGTGGAGGTGGAGAAGATAATATCTAGCTCTACTCTTTTTTCCCTTCAGATTTACAATTGAAGTTCAAAAGGTGTTTAGATTCTAAGGAAGATGGTTCATAGGAAATAAAAAATGTGGCGCCATTTGAAATTCAAATGTGAATCTTATCTCAATAGGGCATATGTTGAAGGGTGGATTGTGCATGAGTACAATTCTCCACCTCAACTACCACATAAGCTTTACCAATTGTGAAGACTGTCATGTCAACAAAAACGTGTGATATAAGCCAAACTTGTAACTAATGTAAATCTTCTCTGTGTTATCTTACTCTAATAAATACCTCAAAAGGATGCAAAATTACATTACATAGTCCCTACAACCTTTTGAACAATTTTCTTCACTTTATAACTGTCTAAAACTCTTTTGACTATAAAGTTATTTAAATTGATGGAATGTTTTCCATCAATTTTTCACTTGGCTCTATCATTTATAATTGTCCATGTCAATCCTTATGCTTCTCATCATTTGTATATTCGCTTTAAAAAAGAATAATACTACACTTACAAATTTTGGTATACATGCTGATATCTCACAGTAAATGTAAAATTGGAAGTGAAAAAGTGAATGCAATTAAAAAGGATGAACAATGAAGCTATAAAAGAATAATGCAACATTAGTTTGTATTATTCTTCAAATTTTGTATTATTCTTTTGAAGAGGAGTGCTAGTAACACTCTCTTTTTCATTTTCTTTGTAACTCTTTCATTATCTTTTTGACACATCTACAAAAGATAAAAGAGGTCGCAAGTTGGTATTGTAATGAATGAGTTGTTGGTTTTGTCTTTTGTACATGTGTCAAAAGGAGAATTAGGGAGTGACAAAGATGATGAGGAAGAGAGTGTTGCTAGCATTTCTCTTATTTTGAAAATCAATTTGCTTTTATTGGAGGAAGGAATGGTGGCCTTATAGGATGTTAAGATATGGCTATTGTCTAAGTCATTTGGTTGGGAGAAAATAAATTTTGAAGATTTAGGGGCAGTGTGTGACCTGTGGGATATGTCGGAATTTGATTGTTGAAATCTCATAGCTTTAGTTGAAGTTTTGATATATTTCGTTTTTCTTTATCTATCATAATTCGGATGCAGCATAATTGAATTTAGGCTGTTCTGACTTGTCTAGTCAGTTTTGGACAGCTTCTTCACTTTCCTTTTAATGTCTTCTTTGTAATCTGCTTGTTGACTAAATAAAAATTCTCTTATGATATAAAAAATATGAACTTCTCTACGTTCTCTAAGTGTTATTTCTGAGGGATATGTGCTCGGGCAAAGCTTTTTCTTGTTGTGGATCACAATTAAACAGTTTCGATGTGAACATTTGATTTCATTTTATTCTTGTATTTTATTTGTAAATGTTGTATGAGCAGGTGGGCTACATTGTCATGGTGGATCCAAAAACTGGAGTTAGAAGCAACTTATTGAGGATTAAAAAAGCTGAAGTGGTCGGTATCTACCACCCATTAATTAATGAAAAGCTTGTGAGAGTACTTCGCAGGTAAGAGCTTCAAAGCACTAGTTTTGAGATAATCTTGTTGTCTCTCTTGAAATTTGTTTAAAAATCTGATCAAATATCATCGATTTAGTTTTTGCTTTGAAATCTCATTCCGAAAAGTTCAAAATTAGTATTGTCTAATATACTTGAACCAAATTGTAGGAAGAATCAATGAAATTTGCTCTTAGTTTGCAAGTTTAACGAGTCGATTTTATTAGGAGGAATAAAAAGGTGTTTGCTTGGACCGTTGATGATGAGGATTCGATGAGAAGGATGTTGAATGGGCGCATCGATGCTATTGTTACAAGCGATCCCACTTCACTTCAAGTTCTGATGCAGGAAATCAGAACTCAATGCCTTGAAGACGGTTTTTCTCTGACAAGATAGCGTTCAAATGATTCTCTGACTCTGTCTATCATATTGATCAGATAACGTTTAACACCATAAATTTTTCCACGTATAGGCATAGATTTTCATTCTTGTTACATGTAATGTCATTTGACAGATTAATAATCAAATCGACAAATGAATGTTACTAGGATGATATTTTGTATTACAGAAATTGAATTTAAATAGTATTATTATTATTCTTTGTAGAGCATATGATGCATCAAAGTGATAGAGCTTGTTACCATTTTTAATTACTACGTAATGACTTGCTTCGATATCAAGCTTTCATCTACAAAATAATTTTTTTTCGTTATCTTTTTGTAGTAATCTATACCAATGTTTTAATAATTAACCCGAGGTGAAATTCGGCAAAGTTATTAAGTTTTGGGTTGACCGGTTTAATTGGTTTGACGGACTAGTCAAACCGGGTGTCAAGAAGTTTTAAATTTATCAAATACACCTTTAAATTTACAGTTAAGTATCTACATGTTTGAATTTTATCAAACATACCCTAAATAGAAGTTGGTAGTTGATTGGTCGGTGGTGGTGACACACAAAATGTAATTTCAATCATCTTGAGCCTATTCTCCATAAAATCTACCCAAGAATACTTAACACATTCATTGGTCTATTAAGTTAATCATGGAAACCTTAGGAAAGGATAACAATTCATTGGTCTATTAAGTTAATCATGGAAACCTTAGGAAAGGATAATACAAACTTTTTATATACTATTGTAGTATCGTGTTTTAAGATGATTGAATGATTGTAAAATAAAAATAATTTAAATAATTAAAGATGATTACATGACAAAGATGCATGATTCTTGTTATGCCTAAAAATTCAAAGCTAACACGAACTTACATAAGCAAAGACTAATTAGAGTTCATAAAGGTATTGTCTCGTTTAGGCGTTGTCACGTCATCTAAAGACGGAATGAGTAAGACTATCATCAACTTGACAAGGCGTTGTCACGTCATCTAAAGACGGAATGAGTAAGACTATCATCAACTTGACAGATAAAGACTTGGCTAGTGAGTGGTTCGAAGTCACCCATACGCCTAAACTTTGTGTAATTTAAAGATATCTTTCGTGTAACCAACCAATGAGAAGCAGGGTAAGAATTGTACGGCACCTGACAGACTTGTAATTATTACCCAGAAACCTCTTACTATAAATAGAGAGCTCCTCTCTCATTTTTCAGAATTCTGATTTCGATAACATAAACACTCACTCTCTCTATCTGTATTTCTATTTCTTTATTTGCTATTTACTATCTATGTAATGTTTCTTATAAAAAAGATAATGCACGTAAGATTTATTGTATTTTCTATTTATATGTAATTTTTAAATCAGTTTAACACTTTAAATGTTAAAATACAGTATCAACAATTCTCACGTCAATTTTTCAAGGAGTAATTTAGATAAATAGTTTATATATCTAGCATTAGTCTTTAGCCAAGGATTGTTCGTTTACCTAATTTGCCCTTTATACTTTCAATGCCTTGGAATTTGTGTGAAGCCCCATCACTCTCATACACCATAATCATTGCAAGAAAAAATACAATTTCATCTTAAGTCGGTGGTTTGTGTATCTTCAATCATGAACATTAATATAACATGCAGATAAAAGTGAGTGTTTAAAATCAAAATCATGTTAAAATTTTTAGAACATCTGCTCTCAAAATTTTTAAACTTTTTGTATGATTATAAGATTTCTTTCGGGTATTAAACACACATGTAACATTGTATTACCCTTGACCTTGCTGATTTTAAAAAACAATAAAAACAAAATCAAAGAAAATACTTTCATTTCCCAAATTTGTTGTGTCAAGCAACACGATGCCTTGTTGGTGAGATAATCCTTGCCGATTATTTTATACATACTGTTACGAGTTGAATAATATAAGATTATGAATAATTGATAAACCGTTCAAACTTATTAATACTAACAAAATAATATATAGTAACCGATCTATCCTCTTATTTTTTATTTAATACATATAATATTAGGGTTACTTGCACTTTCATAGAAATTTTTATGATAGAGGATTTACTGACTTATCATTTTACATTTTATTTAAATACTTAAAAATTAATTATAATAATAATAATAAATTTTTAAGTATAACTAAATCATAAAATTTACCTTACAATTATAATAATAACATAAATTTTATTATCGTGATTATTAATCCATATATTCCAACGGTATATTAACTGTAAATGAATTTATAATATTTCTAAAATTTTAAAGGATCGAGATTAAAAATCCGTTTTAAAATTTAACGATAAGGCGATTATTGTAAAACCTCCATAATTTTTTTTCAATTAAATAAAAAACAATATCAGAACAATGAGAACAAAACAAAAGAAGAGTAAAAGCACATCCAAGTTCTAATTTGTTGCACCACGCGACCATGACGCTTACCGACGAAGAAATATACGTCTGCATCGCGGTTACACGCTGCTTCCCTCTAAAGTCTAGCCGCCATTTCATTAGGTCCAGATCAACGGCTTGGATCGATTTTACTTTACCTATGTGGAAACTTTACGATGATCCTCATTGTACATAAACATCTCTTTCCCAACTATTTACGTTAAACAGTATGTAAACAGACAGAAACTGAGAGCAGATAATTAAAAAAATAAAATATTTTCTGAATTCGAGAAACGAATCTGATCTCTTCTTTTAACTCTCAGAATCTGACCATCAAAATTTCAAGTAATTAGAAGATATTCACCCAAATTCAATTTGATTCAATTCCATTCAAATTCATTCTGCTGAGTTTTATTTTGAAGAATTGAGAACCCAAAAAGAAAAAAGAAAAAAAAGAAAAAAGAAAACAGAAAATGGTGGTGGGAACTTGGTTTAACAAGAAGGTCATCGACCCTCTTCTCCAAATCCCCAAAGGTACGCTCTTTATCAGTTTTTTTTTTATTTTTATGATGCTTTTGGGGTTTTTGGCTGTTTTTGAATCTGGGTAATTTTTTTTTTTTTTTTTGGTTTTATTCAGAGGTGCAGAGCCAAAGCAAACTGGCGTTTTCTACTGCTCTTGGGCTCACTTTGGGAGTTTTTCCCATTGTGGGATGTGTATTTTGTTTAAGAAAATAAGCATTTTATACATTAAGAATCACGCGTTGTATTTTATAATTAGAAAAAGAAAAACGGTTGATGTCCGGTATTGTTACCGGATTTTACTGTGGGGGAGTTTCCCATAATATGGTAATTGTGTGTTATTGTTATGATTTGCATTGGATTTGGTCATCTTAGTTGCGGTATGTTATTACGCAAAAAAAAAAAAAAAAAAAAAAAAAAAAAAAAAAAACTTTGATTTACAGTAAGGTTACCGGGATTTTCAACTTGGGAATGTTTTTCATCTGTGGTATGTAGAGTGTGTTTAGTGATGTCAAAATCTACAAATCACTCATTGTATGCTACTGATATGATTTTTATTTGGGTTTATTAACACTGATTTTGTTCAAAAATTGTTGAATCCGGTAATGTTTGCAATGTTGAGCACAACTACCCTACTTGATATAGCTGTTTTTGTTGTTCTTGGGAGTGTTTTCATCTGTGGTATGTCTGTTTATAAGAACGTTGACATAGACAAACAATATGCTTTATGTTACAAAAATGAATTTTCTTCAAAAAAAAATTGTTGACCCCGGTGACTGTACTGGGATTTTGATGCCAGTGATAGAAGTATTACATAAAATGGAGAATGCGAGCTTCTGTTTTTCTTGGATGCTCATATGAGTAAGTGCTTGATAGTCTAATCTAGTGAACAAATGCCATTGTTTTTTGAACAGGGGTCACAGTGTTTTTATGTGGGATTGCTATCGCAGTGCTTAAATCTCGTTGTCATGCTCCAAGTATGATGCTTGCTAATTTTATTGCTACTCCAATAGAATTGAGGTATTTTATATGTTTTCCTAAGCTATGAGTTCTACATTTATGGTTTTCATTTGGTAATGAGGATTAGTTCCACTTATCTGAAGAGAAAAATAGGTGATAGATGTAAGGAAGGTCAAGAGATTTGTGGTATAAAAATTAAAAAAAAACGAGAAAAAGAAAAATGTGACAAGTTTGATCGAAAAAATTTCTGATTCATTGACTGATTTTTGTCAGCGCAATGAAGAGTTGAATTCATAGTTCTGAGAGAAATCAACTTCTTTTAATTGTTAAATTTTTTTGTGCTACCAACTTTAGTACCGTATGCTTCAGTGCATTTATCATTTTAATCTGATTTCTATTGGTATGTTTTATTTTAAGTCTGGTGGTTCCCTTCTTGCGATTTGGTGAAGCTCTCACTGGTGGACCTCATTTTCCATTAACATCTGATGCGCTGAAGAGGGTTTTGACTGGCAAAGCTTCACAGGAGGTCCTATTCAGTGTTGCTCATGCGGTAAATAGCCGAATATTTTACTCTAGAGCTTAACTCTGTTGCATGCTCCGGTCAAAAATAAATTCAAACAATTGAACACCTATCAGAAGTAGTATATCGGTGCAACTCTTTGTTCTTAATACTTAAACTGTCTAGGCTTGATTGGTAAGTTTCTGCTGTAGAAGCAAATAGTCTATACAAATGTTAATGTATTCTTCCCAACTTTTATTAATAAAAAATTGCTAACAATCATTTATTTTAATACAAACGGAGGACCTTTGAAACATCTTCACATCTTTGATCTTTTGGATGAAAACTAGAGCTATCTTCTTTAGGACATAAGTCTTAATATTCCTTACAACTTGTTATCAGTGATAATTTGGGATTTTTTCTTTCTTTATTTGCAATCAATTTCTGAGAGTGAGTAAGAGGGTCATAAGTTTTACTTTTGAGTCAACTCAAATATAGCTGATGCATAGTTCTTACTGTACACTTCTTTTTTTGGTAGCTTGCATTGTAGAATTTTACAAACATTGATTATAGGTGAGAAATAGTACATGTATATTAGTTGTCTTTCATTGAACCAACAATTTACATGTATAGATGACCGTGAATGTAACCAAGTTTGATTGCAAAATAGTATTATTATGACTTGAAACGACATTGTATCTTCTAACTCTCATGGAACATATAGATCGAGGATTTGTTACCCGGTGAAATTCATAAGCCCCTTAAACCATCTAAACACTTGGAGATGTGCACATACGAAGCTAAACAAATGCAGTCACATACAATTAGATAATCTTTTACATAGTATATGCTAAAAAAATTTAAGATCATTTCCCGATTGATCATGTGTCGGCAGTCTTAGATGTTTATAATCTCACAAAGATCAAGGTTAGAATTGGCAATCTTTGCATGAAATTTTATACTAAGCAAATGGATGGCAGTGCAGAGAATGTGATGTGCTCAATAACCATTAGGACTCCACTTTTGTACTAGTTAGAAAGACATGGTGAGACCATCATAATCCTAATTATTCTAGGAAAAGGAATAGTAGTCTTTGAATCTAATAGCTTATGTTTCTGAATCCCTAATCCGTAATAGCTCATGTTCCTGAGTGGCTCACAGATGTGTCGGCATTCGTTGTCACCATGCTGAGCCAGTGATACTTATGATTTGGATCTTCAGTTTCCTTGTGAAACATAGCTATCAGTGCACACTCACCGATTTTAATTATATGTACTGTGATCATTTTTCTACTTTTCAGGGATTATGAAGGCTGACCATCAAATTTTATCTTGGGAATCTTATAAATATTGTTTTCATATTTTTCTATTTCCTTTCTGCTGAAATTTAGTGATATTCACACTTAAAGTATTTCTATTATCAACCTTTGCAGGTGATGGGATGGATAGTTGCTTCACCTTTCATTTTGGCAGCACTCTACATGATATTTTTGCCGGTTTTCAAGTTCCTGCTTCAGAAGTTTAGCACCGTTCCTTTAAGCCCCAAGAAGCCACTCCTTTCACACTCAGAAATCAAGCTCAAGGTGAGGGATGTTTGAACAATTATGTAATAGTCGAAAACTTGCTTCAGTTATCCCGGTTACATGGAACGGTAGTGTTGTTTATTTCTAACTCTATAATAGTCCTTGTACATAAAACTTCACCAAGCTAAGCCTGTGTATATGTGCCATGCTTCATAAGCCTGTTGTATTTCCTGGTGTTGTCATTTCAGACAAGAATTAATGAAAATGGAAACGCTATATGTCTTTGTCCTGGGAACAAACTGATGCAAGTTTTTTCGATTTTCTGCATCATGGATATTGTGCATTCTTTGGAACATTACTCATCAGATTGATGATAACATCAATTGTTGATGTGGTTCCGTGTTGACAATAGCTAAATTTACACATTCAAATCTTTTGCTACAGACTTCTCTGATGGGTTCTGGAACCGCAACTCGCAGTTCCCCTATGGGTACTGATGATGACTATTAAGCCATTGACCGATGCAAGGGCAGTGAAATGCATGGCTGGAAACACCTGAGCTATTGCACCAATGGCTCTTAGAGCTAGCCTTGTTATGTGGCTCATTCGGCATTCAATTCAGAGATTGATTATACAACTCATTCCGCATATCATACCGTTACCAGATAACAAGATTTCAGTTCCTGCCTTTTTATCTTTAAATGCTTCAAATTTTGCTTCTTCAAGAAGGAGACTTGGCAATGGCCTTGAATAGAGCCAGATAACTTGTAGAGGCTGGTTCCTATTTGTTTACTTTATTTCTAAGTCTCCTCAGCTTTGCATAAAATGAACGATTATCACAGCTGAAACTCTTAAGGTTCTGTTAGTTTATTCTTGAAGCAATGCTCTGCACTTGTGCAGAAGCAAACTCAACCTCTATATATATAGTTCACCTCTGCCAGCTCCGCTGTAGATATGTACAGTTATTTTATGATCCCGATATTGTTAGTTAGCATCGGTAAATGATTTTTTGGCGTCATCTATCACTACACGGTAAAAAAGTCTATTAAGAGTGTCAGCTTTTTTTTATTATTATTATTGAAAATTATAAAATTTTGGCTTCCGTTTGGTTGCATATTGGGAATACTACTTTTATTATTTTCAAAAAAGTTAAACAGTAAAATATCTAAAAATTTTGATTTTTGAGAATATTACTTTCAATATTATTCAACTTCTTTTAAACCCCTTAAATTTGATAATTTAATTAAATACCTCTAAATATTTTTTTAAAATAACAAAAATACCCCAGTAATCCACATTTACCAGATTCTAGCCATTATTGTCGGAAAATGGTCAGAATTTGTTAGGATGGTGCACTACTGACTGAATCTGGTCGGTGCCGATTTAGTTTTTTCCGGTCAGATCAACGGTGAAGCTAGCTGGAAAAGGTCAAATCTAAGGCCAAAGAATGGCCAGATCTTTCAACGACGACCGTTTGTTGGCTGTCGTTGACGAGCAAATACGGCCAGATCCACACGATCGGCAAGATCCAGCCTGTCATGCGTCGATACGGCGAATCCGACCACCCTCCGGCGGTGGTGGCCGGCTGTCCGTATTTGAAGGTGGGTTAGGGGTGTTTTTGTTAACTTTTAATGTTTTATTATAGGGGGTGTTTTATAAATAAACAAACATAGGGGATATTTTATTAATTTATAAATCTTACATCGTAATACCAGCCTAATTCAACTTTTTTTTTAACTTTTTTTAAAAAACTTTTCCCAAAAACACCCAATCGTGAACCAAACGAAGCCTTTGTCTTTTAATATTTCTTAACATTATTAGTTAATGATAATTCGGATTTAAAAATAATCCGAATTAGCTCAAGAAGTGCTTTTGGATTTGGTAGATTTAATATTTTAATTGACAATTAACTTATTAGTAAAAATTGAATTATTATTTTTCTGTTTTGGTAAACCTTGTTAGGACAAGGGAATTTATTAACTAGAAAAAAAAATATATATATATATATATAAAGGGGACCTATTGAGCCTTACACCTCAAGAAAAATCAATAAAAAAAAAAAAAAAAAGCCTAAAATGCAATACAAATTGTGGAAATTTATAGCTTGAACTAGAATGGCCAATATCTATACATATTGAATTATTATTTTTTTCTTTTGGTAAACCGTGTTAGGACAAGGAAACTTATTAACTAGAAAAAAAAAAAAAACATGTATCTAATAAAGGGGACATATTGAGCCTTACTTCTCGAGAAAAAATAATATATAGAGATAAAAGAAAGAAAAAAAAGCCTAAAATGCAATACAAATTCTGAAAATTTATAACTAGAATAGTCAAATGAAGAAATTATACATTCAAAATAAATTATAAGCTTTAGAATTTCTTTTTTTTTTGGGATCATATTCGTATTAACAACTAATCTGGCACAAATCAGAGACTATGAGAAAGGAAGAAAACTTGACAAAATTTTAGAAGAAGTCGAATTAGATAGATGAAGTAGGTTTTGACTTTAATTAACAATTTTTTTTAAAGAAAAAAAATCACAAGATTGAATGTTAGATTCACACTTGTTTTGAAGATAAGTTACATTGATTAATAAAGTAGATTACATTTGATTTGGAGTTAATGACATTAATCTCCTAACTATGATATAATAAGGATAAAAAGGTTTTTATTATTTTTTAAACCTTAATAGAATTTTTTTTTTTTAATATATCATACCTCAAAGGCATTAATTATTAACTCTTTCATTTATAATAATTTTTTAAAACTACAAAGTTAAAAGTGGGATATAGTTAGTGAAAAAATTCTCAAATGCAGATGTCTATATATATTTTTTTATTACTTGTGTGATGAACATTGAAAGATAAAATTTTATAGTTTTCAGTGTTAATTAACCTAATAAATGTGATAGAATTAAAAAAAAAAAAAAAAGACAACGACAGAGTGCACATTAGAAAAGGACTCTTGATTAATGAAATTATCAAGTCAATTTGATTAACAAGCTATATAGAAGATTTAAGACTCTTAAGACCTAAAAAAATAATAATCGACATGAGATAAGTTATCAAAATTTTATGTCGTCTTATTGGTAAGGGTCGGTTATGAGTTACATATATAGAATTTTTTTCTTAAATAGTATAAGATTTTTTTTTTTTTAATTTTAGAATGATCCATAAAAAATGATAATCAGTTAAACTCAAAACAAACAATATCATACAATAATGTGCAGATAAATCCTCCTATGTTTTGTCTTTTTATAGTGAGCACCCGTTGGTTTCAGAAATACTAGTCTAACCTTGGAGCGTTTGGCCTTTTTTGTAGTGAGCATCCGCTGATTTTATTATTCATCCAAATTTAATTAATCTAGCATCCAAAATTTGTCAATAATGTTAAGAGTTAATTAATATATTTTTTAGAAGTTAAATTGATGAAATTGTTAATAAATTTGAAGGTTTAATTGATAATATTCTCGAAATTAGTGTCTACTCACTACAAAAAAGGTCAAATATGCAAGGGTTAGGGTCGCATTTTTTAAACCAACAGGTATTCACTATACAAAATGTCAAACCCACAGAAATTAGGGTTGTATTTGGAAAACCAGCATATGCTTATTATTTATGTTATTAATTAAAATGTAATGAATAAAATATTTGAATTGTACAATTCTGTCGCTATTAAGAACATAAATTATATTATCAACTTCCAAAACCAGCTATTTATCTTACTAATCAGGATTTGATTAAGATGGTTGATTGTTTAATGGGGTAATTAGTTAGCTTTTAAACACAAACAAAATCTTAAAAATCTTATGGTATAATTTCATCATGTCAGCATAACAAGTAGGTGGCTTCATTGATTAAATATCCAAACATTATGTTATAATTAATGTAAGTGTTAGTTTTCATGCAACGCTTGGCATATTGACATATTACCGATATATTAATTTAAACTGCCCAAAACATATAATAAAATTAAAAAATAAAAAAAGATTGTGATTTTGTAAACGTTCCTTGGCTTATTCTATGTAATTTCAACTTCCAAGGTTTAATTCTTATCTTATCTTATGGTAGGTGTAACATTTGGAGGAATCTTCCAAAATAATATGTAGAAATGATAAATAAAAAGGAAAAAACTCGTTTATTTTTTTAATTATTTTAGGATTAAGAGTTTTATATTTTTATTTTAATATAATTATGTCCTTTGAATAATGAATTTGTTTTATATTATGAAATTACATATCGACATTTTATATATATATATAAGTCAAATGCTTTATACATTATGATACTTTCAATGAAACCATAAATCTCCATTTAGTTTCGAACTAGCACTATAAGAAAAATGGTATATCTAACCCATTTATAAAAGTCTATTAAAAAATGCGAACATCTCCACTTTAGAATTTTTTAAATACAAAATTTTAATTCTTTATAAACTCTTAGCTCTAAAAAATGTAAAATATATTTATTTGTAGAATATGATATAAAAACAAATACGTTTGTTTAGTTATTTGGAGTAGTATTTTTGAAATATGGTGTGTTTGTTTTCCTATCCTATTTATATTCCAAATCTTTAAATCAAAATGCATATTTGAAATATGGAGTAGTATTTAAATCTTTTTTGTTGACATGCGAACTACTAAGCATTCAATTGATGGTACACACTAGTAGGGGTGTTAAAAAACGGTTAATTTTTTTTTTAATTGAACAAGTTTTTCAGTTCGGACAAATTTTCAAACGGAAACTGAACCAGTTTAGAGGGAAAACCAGTGTTTTGGTTAATCGGTTTTCTCTTTTTTTTTTATAGAACTTTTTTTTCCTAAATTAAATTGTAAATATAAACAATACATATCCAAATAAAAATTAAATATTCATACATATTTATTGACCACTACTAATAATACATTATATATATATATATATAAAACCGGTTCAAAAAACTTGTTTCGGTTAACCTTTTTTTATTTTTTCATGAATCAGTAACCGAACCAAAAATCTGATTTTTAAAATTTTTCGAATCATAATTGAACTATATTTTTGGTTAACCGATTTTTTAACTCGGTTACCCATTCGATTTGATTTTTGTATTTTTTTCAAACACCCCTACACACTCGAGCATAAACCATATCAAGTGTGATGCTTTAACTTGATGTAACATTGGTCAACTTAATCAATTTGTTCTATTTTATATCAGTTTGTCTTACACATTTTGTCACTATTATAAACTTAATTAAGCATAAGAGGAAATGACATCTCTGCCCCTTATCATGATTTCATGGCAATCTTATTTGACTTTGACAATCTCATTTTCAAAGTCAGGACGTTAAAATCAGCAAAGAAAGTGAGATGTTTTTAGTTTCTGAAGGGTTAAATGTCATTTTCCCACCCAAAGTTTGGCGAAGGCCCATTTTCTTAACCATAAACTTTGAGAAAAAACCCTTTTTCCCACCCATAATCAATCTTCATTAATAGAATCTGTTACCAGACAGGGGTAACAGGGTAAAATTGTGAAAGGACTGCAATATCTTTTATTATTAGACTTTATAATTTTTAATGAGATTGAATAATATTTTCCCACCCAAACTTTATTAAATCTATTTTTCTCTCCTAGTTTGGTTTATGTTAATTTTAGGGTTAATAAATTAAAAAAATTAAAAATAAAGTCAGTTATTAAAATAAATAAGAAATCTAAAATTAAATTAAATTAAAAAAAAACTCATAATAAAATAAATAAGAAATCTAAAATTAAATTAAATTAAAAAAAAACTCAAAAACTGAAAAAAAAAAAAAACAATCAGGCGAAATCGCACCGACCGAATCAAACCTGACTAGATTCAATATCGATTGAATCACACTTGACCAGGTGTGACTTGGGCCAAATCGCACCAAGTTAGTTGCAACTCAGGCAGAATGGCACTAGGTTGGTTGCTATTCAAGCCGAACTGCACCTATCCGAGTGCGATTCCAATTGAATCGCACCTAGTTGGGTGTGATTTCGGTCGAATCACACTTGGCTAGGTGCAAATTTGTTGGAATAGCAACCGGCCTGGTGCGATTCGATCAAAATCGTTGGGTGTGATACTGGCTAGTTGATTTTTTTTTTTTTCAAATTTTCATAATTTTTTTTGATTTTTTTTCTTCTTTTTAAAAATTGTTTAGTTTTCTTTTTTCGGAAATCATATTTTTATACAATTTCATAAAATATATACAATTTTAATGAAATATTGTTTTGTAGTTTTATAGATATTTAATTGATAGATATTATTATAATTTTTAAAAATAATATACACAATTTTAATTTTTTTTAGAAACACGCATACTTCAAAAGTGAAACCTCTATTGTAATAATAAAAGTTGAAGAATAGGGGTTTAAATGGCTAATTCCCAAGTTACTAAAGGTAATTGTCATGTGTTTGTAATTTAGGGTTCTTTATAAAACTCAAACTCTTTATTATAAAGAATTTATTCATAAAAACGAGAGTCTAATAGACTCTTTGTTATTTAAATATAAATTAAAAAGTAAGTTCTCTCCACATCTAAAGTGTCAAATTTCACTGTCTATCCTAATTTTAATTAAAAAATTATAAATTTCTATATATTTTATTTATTAATTATCTCTTCTATTAAGTTTATTTTCTTGAAATTTAAAGATTTTACTGGATTTGAATAAAAATTTTGTTTTTTATATTTAGAAATTAATGAATATGTTCTTTATTTATGCAAAAGATACTCTTTAAAGTAAAGATTACTATTAAAGATGCTAAATATTAAACCGATAATATATATTGTGCAAACTTGAATGCCCTTCTGCCATTAAAACTAACTTTTGAATTTTAACGAGGGGTGGGAAAACGTTTTTCACAAAGTTTATGGGTGAAAAATTACATTCACCGAACGTTGGGTAAGGCAAAATGTTATTCGGCCTTTCTGAAACTAACCTTATGGTATAAATATTAAATAGGGGCTGAAAAAAAATTTGTCCATAATTACGATTAGCCTCTTTGTCTTAATGCTAAGTTACGTGCCCGAGTCAATTTATGCATTTATTTTTGTGTGTCGTTTTGTGTTGTTTGATTATCGTTTCAACTTTGCAGGTAACAACGTATTTTGTTTTCTCAATTAAATCAATAAATTAAGATTAACTATTTTAATATATTATCCGTTCTCCTATAGCTTAAAAACTATATTTAAATTTAAAGATGGTTATTTCAGTAGAAAAATATAGATTATTGACTTAAAATAAACCAATTATTTATACATATAGTTATAAGTAATTGCTAAGTAATTATTATATGATTAATTTAATCATTAAATATTTTTGTTTTCACTATATATTTTATATTAATTAAAATTAATCTATTGGTGTTGTCGTCGAAATTATAAAAATAATGATTAAACCTAATTCTTAAATTTTATATGAATATATTCAGAAAATAGGCTTCATAATAGTTATTTAAGTACAAATAGCATCAGAATGAGTTTTTTTATCTTATTTATTGATTGTTGATTTCCTTAAAAAGAATATGTACAAAAAAAAAAAAAAAAAAAAAAAACTTTGAAAAAAAAACTTTTTCCCACCCTTAACAATCTTCATTAATGGAACCTGTTACCGGACAGGGGTAACAGGGTAAATTATGAGAAGGCTATAATATCTTTTATTATTAGACTTTATAATTTTTAATGAGATTGAATATATTTTCCCACCCAAACTTTATTAAATCTATTTTTCTCTCCTAGTTTGGTTTATGTTATTTTAGGGTTAATAAATTAAAAAATTAAAATAAAGTCAAAATGTAAAAATGAAAAAGTCTGAAAAATAAAATAAATAAAAACTCAAAACTGAAAAAAAAAAAAAAAAAAAAAACAATCAGGTGAATCCACCAGCCAAATCAAAACTAACATAGATTTGATATCGATTGAATCACACTGGCCAAGTGTGACTTAGACCAATTGCACCAAGCTGGTTGCAACTCACGTAGAATGGCACTAGGTTGGTTGCTATTCAAGCCGAACCGCACCTAGCCGAGTGCGATTCCAACTGAATCACACTAGTTGGTGTGATTTTGTCGACTCACACTTGGCTAGGTGCAAATCTGTTGGAATAGCAACTTCTTGTCGATTCAATTGAATCATTGGGTTCGATTATGGCTAATTGATTTTTTTTTTTTAGTTTTTCAATTTTTTTTTCAAATTTTCATAATTTTTTTATTTTTTAGATTTTTTCTTCTTTTTTAAAATTTTTAGTTTTCTTTTTTGGAAATCATATTTTTACAATTTCATAAAATATATACAATTTTAATGAAATATTATTTTGTATATATTTTTATAATTTTAAAATAATATATACATTTTTTTTAATTTTTTTTTTTTTTTTTTTTAAAACAGGCGTATTTCAAAAGCAAAACCTCCATTGTCAAAAAAAAAAAAAATAAAAGTACCTGGGTACAAAAAAAAAAAAAAAAAATACTTATAAAAAGTTGAAGAATAGGGGTTTAAATGACTAATTCCCAAGTCAGTAAAGGTAATTGTTATGTATTTGTAATTTAGGGGTGTAAAACTCTCCAAATGATTATTTATAAGAATCAAACTCTTTATTATAAAGAATTTATTCATAAAAATAGACTATTTATTATTTAAATATAAATAAAAGAGTGAGTTCTCTCCATATTTAGATTATTTAAATATAAATAAAAGAGTGAGTTCTCTCCATATTTAGAGAGTCAAATTTCACTTTATATCATAATTTTAATTAATAAATTACATGTTTTTATATATTTTATTTATTAATTATCTCTCTTATTAAGTTTTTTTCTTAAAATTTAAAGATTCTATTGGATTTAAATAAATTTTTTTTTTTATATTTAGAAATCAATGAAGATGTTCTTTATTTATATGAAAAATACTTTTTAAAGTAAAGAACCTATAATATATATTGTGCAAACTTGAATGCCCTTCTGCCATTAAAATTAATTTTTGAATTTTAACGATGGGTGGGAAAACGTTTTTCACAAAGTTTATGGGTGAAAATTTTATTCGCCAAATGTTGGTAGGCAAAATGTCATTCGGCCTTTCTGAAACTCTAAGGTTAAACGAACCTTATGCTATAAATATTAAATAGGGACTGAAAATAATTTATTTGTCCATAATTACAAGTAGCCTCTTTGTCTTAATGCTAAGTTACGTGCCCGAGTCAATGTCTGCATTTATTTTTGTGTGTCGTTTTGTGTTGATTGATCATCGTTTCAATTTTGCAGTTCACAACGTACTTTGTTTTCTCAATTAAATCAATAAATTAAGATTAACTATTTTAATATATTATCCGTTCTCCTATAGCTTAAAAACTATATGTAAATTTAAAGATGGTTATTTTAGTGGAAAAATATAGATTATTGACTTAAAATAAACCAATTATTTATACATATAGTTATAAGTAATTGCTAAGTAATTATTATATGATTAATTTAATCATTAAATATTTTTGTTTTCATTATATTTTATATTTAATTAAAATTAATCTATTGGCATTTTCGTCAAAATTATATAAATAATAAATTATATACTCAGAAAATAGGCATCATAATAGTTATTTAAGTAAAAATAGCGTTATGAATGAATTTATTTTATCTTATATTATTAATTATTGATTTCCTTAAAAAAGAATATATGTTTTAGAAAAAAACCATGTCGAGTCAAACGAAGGTTAACGAAAGATATTAGATTAGGTATTTTTATAATAGATGATATATGTATTATTATGATTGATAAAATAAAGAAATAATGATAATGACTAATGATATTTCAATAAAAGATTTTTCAATTTTATTTCAATTATTTTATCAAGAAGGAAATATGTTAATTCTACAACAATCATTTAATTTAGAAATGGGTTATATTAAAGGATGAGTGGGTCTATATACTCGACTCCAATCTTAAGAACTGGAATCAGAACTGTATAATATTAGTTTTTGAGATTAAGGAACTGCAACCAATATTTGCGATTCCAAATCTTAACAACCAGTATTATCCGGTTCCAAATATCAAACATTACATAAATACTAATTCATATGATAACAAATGTATATTATTATAAATTATTAATATGATGTTAGCACGTTTGAAATATTTTTAGGGAAAGATTCGTTAAAACTTAAAACTCGATTTAATATAAAATAACAATAACCATAAAAACACATAAATTTAAAAAAAAAAAAAAAAAAAATCACAAACAAGGAAAGTAACTGAAGAAGATGGCATCTTGATCTTCATCTGACTCTTCATGTTCTGTGTGACTCTGTCTTTGCCTTCTTTTGTCTATCCAGTTTTTCCGCTAAAATCTAAACTCTTTCCTCCACCTTTTATCTTCCTTTGATCCTCCACTTAATCATATCTTCTGTCTCTTTCTCCTCTTCAAACTTCTCTTACTCACTCTCTTCCTCATTGCCCCTTGTGTTTCTGTTGTGTTTGTTTATCTAATCTTGACTTTTTTTGACCAAGTTTCAAGTGTTTGGTTTTTGTTACCCGTCCAAAGCTTGCATTTTTCAAAGTTTAGTTGTTGTTTAGTTTTTATTTAAGATTCCAATTTCAAGTATTTCTTTGCTTTTCTCATCTGGGAATCTTCTAGAACTCGCATTTTTTGAATCTTTTCTTGGTTCACTTCAGCTATTGTGTGAATTCTTGTTGAAATAAGCCATTGAGTTGAAGTTTGAGTTTATATTGAAGCCTTCTATTTTAAGTTTTTCTTTGTTTTTCCCATCTGGGTATTCTCCAAAGCTTGCATTTTTTGAATTTTTCTTGGTTCATTTCAGCTTCATTTGTGTGAATTCTTGTTGAAATAAAGCCATTGAAGGATACCCACTTGAGTTTTTGTTAAAGCTTTCAAATTCAAGTTCGTCATTGTCTTTCCCATCTGGGTATCCTCTAAACTTTCCTTTTAAACTCTTTTATGGTTCATTTGAGCTCCATTTGTGTAAAAAAGTGTGTTTAACTTGGCCATTGAAGGATACCCATTGATTACTAAACTAAAAGATCAATTATTTCCCTCTTTCCCCTTCTGAATATCCTCCGAAACTAGCATTTTCCATGTTTGTTTTTTCTGATTCATTTCAGCTTCATTTGTATGATTTCGTGTTAAAATAAGTCATTGAAGGACATCCATTTGATTTCTGATCCTGTCTTTTTCTCCACTTGCTGTTACTTATTAAGCCACAATTCAACTTCTTCACTCTTTTTCCCTTCTGGGTATTCTCTTGAACTTACGTTATTGAACTTTTTCTTGTTGCTTTCAGCTTCATTTGTGTAAACTATTGCTCAAATAAGCCACAGAAGAAACTCCGTTTGATTTATACTTAACCTTTAAATCCTGCTTCTTGTAGCTTGATGTGGCCTCACTACTTTGCTTCTTTCTCTTGATTTGTGCCTATTTTCTTCTACAAGTCAAATCAATCTCTAAACTTCACTTCCACATCTTGATTCTCTCCACAACTCATAAATACTTGCATTTCTTTTCACAATTTTTATCGGATTTGTGATCTTTTTATGTTGGAAATAGAAACAATTTGTTATGTCTTATTACAGCCATCCAGACTCATCTAATTGTTGCCCTTCATCAACATCTTCAACCGCTACAGCTGAGCTGAAGCTTTACCAAGCTTTTATTTTTTCTGTTCCAATTTTCTTCACTTTTATCCTCCTCTTTTTGTTCTATTTGTTCTATCTTCGCCGCAGGCGAGTTGATTGGGCATCTCTTCGAATGCGAAGCTCTCTACAAAACAATGACCTCTCAAGGGTATGCATTTGATCATTTTGCAATGAATTTTTTTTCTTCCAAGTATTTATATTATTTTTGTGTATATACCTATGTTTGGATTGGTTTTTGTTTTGGTTATTGACAGGCTGAAATGGGGTTAAAGAAAGAATTGAGAGAGATGTTGCCTATTATTATATATAAAGAGAGCTTCTCTATCAAAGACACACAGTGAGTGAACTTTCTCTAATTATGTTGATTTTAATTATCGCACTTGTTAAGGCGTTTTATGTAGGTTGTTTAGCTGGGTTGGTAGTTAATCCCGGCCCACACCACCACCATTGATTTATCAGGCACTTTTCTTCCGTAATATTTTAAGAAGTAGATTTATGTTGTTATTACTTTATTTAGAGGAATAACTTCTGCAGGTTTGTTAAGACAAAATGTGATCTTCCTTGAGGTCCTGAAAACATTTTTATACCGTAAGCATTTTATATGCTGGGACCAACATGACTGAATGGTTCTGTAATTAACCTCTGGCCTGCACCTTGGAGTAGTATCCCTCTATAGCAATGAGTAACAGATCAAATTAGCATTTTCTTTCTTCCACAAGGCCGAATCAAATATCTGGTTATCCCTAACCCTGCAACGTGTGCCAATCGGTTTTGGCTTAATTATGATGCGCATGCCACTTGAGACATTTTATGAAAGTATTCCAAATTTGAAGTGCGTGTTGATCTATGCTTATTGATATTCAAGATTTATGGGATAATTGCTGTTTCAGCTTTTTAGTTTGATACATTATGACTTAGACGTTTCTTCAATAGTGTGGAGATAAAATAAAAGGAAAAATGGGCCAAAAAGATTGCCTTCACTGTTTAGAATGAAAGAAGAATTGTGATGAACACTATATATGCCACATCTTCACTCAAACGTGTCATCAAAGAAAAAGCTGACTGCGTTTTGAAATACCATTCCTACTCATACAACGATTTATTATGTTCTGATTGCATTTATGTCAATTAGATTATACTGAAATCAGACCAGTTTTCCATACATAATTCTACAAAGTAAATAGTTGCTTGCATGGAATCTCCTGATATGGATTTATAGAAAAAAGGAAATGAAGTTGCTGTGTATATTTTTTATATATGTGAAGAGTACAATATGTAGAATCAGTAAACATGAATAGGGAAATTGAAGCTTGCAAGCTTTCGGCATTCCTTTACTAAATAGACATGCTATTATTGTTGCAGATGTTCAGTTTGTCTTGCGGACTACCAAGCAGAAGATAAACTTCAACAGATACCCGCATGTGGCCATGCATTCCACATGGATTGCATCGACCACTGGCTTGCCACCCACACCACTTGCCCACTCTGTCGTCTTTCCCTCATTCCTTCTCCTAAAGCTCCTAATGAATCACCTGACATCCAAGAAGAAACTAGTCGAGAATCTTCTGCCATGGAGAATAGTGATGGAGCATCTGATCAACCAACATCTGAGGCTTGTGAAGAAACTCAAGCTTCAGAACATTCTGGGTTGAGGGATGGAAATACAGGAACAGCCCAAAACAATTCTGAAGAGGAGGAAAGAAGTCCTCAACTTGTTGACCAAGGAAGCGAGTTTCGGGATACAAGGGATGAAAGTAAAGAGCATGATCATAGCAGACAGATCACGGGTGAGTTGTAGTTTCTTCCAAACCTGCTTAGTTGATATAATTAGGCCCATTTCATTTTTTACTTATTTGTGTGACAAGTGCAATTTTCTTCAATTGACTAGTTTTGACTGTGCTGCATTCTGCCTTAAGGCACATAAATTATACTGATTCTGAAGCTGAATGATGTTGAGATGTTAAACTATACAGAATGCTTCAACTTCAAGATTCAATGGGAACATATAAAATAACTGAATGGTTTCTTTTTCTTTTTATTAAATTAATTGAACTAAAGTATAATTCAGCCAAAATGGGCATACTAAATTAGAGTAGTTGTAGTTGCTAATTGATTTGTGCAAAGACCATCATACGGAGACCTTGATTGATTTAGTTACTAATTTATCATTTCTTGTTATTAATTTAATCTTATAACCAGCCACAAGCACTTTCATTTGATATAAATTAAAGTAACCAGAAGCTGGATTTTCATTTTTCTGTGATCAGTGGTAAACCGGGAAGGCCTTCCTTTTTTTTTTTTTTTTTAATTATTATAAGCATGCAGACGTATTTATGCAAAAATAAAATCAAAGTGTACTATAGTTGGTGACATATTTTGATCGCGTTTGAACAGCTGGATACCATGCACACACCATAACAGTGAAGTCACAACGATGCAGCCTAATGCCATTACGCACACCTATTATTCAGGCAAAACCGGTTGAGTAGCACGAAACTTCTGAGATGACAAATTCTCGTTCGCCAGGTAAATGTAATGAACAAATCATTGTTCAACTAATGCTTCCTCGCCGTTGTGACCCCGGGCTCGAGGAACTGGTCAACGACAAGGATTTTCGAAGAAAAATCCGTGAGCAGAGAGAAAGGAAAGAGCAAAAGTGGATGTTTTGGGATGGATACGGCTTATTAATGATGTTTTGTTTAATTTAATATATATTATAAGGCTCTTTTGTACTTAGCTTGGAACTTCTATTTATAGGGGGTACATTGTACATGTGCAGTTTAAAGTGTAATTTGAGATATATAGTTAAATTTGGAGTAAATATTGAAACTAGTTGAAATTTATTGAAACTTCTGATCTTCGATTCAGCTCAGGTTGTTCATACTCAATGACACATCATCAATTTATGTGAAAGCACTTTCTATAATATAGAAGTCTATTAAGCGATTTCCATTTTGAAAAAAAAAAGTACTTAAATGTTAAATAAGGAAGCATAGGGATAGCTAAGAGATGTTATTCCACTTCTTTCTCTTTGAATGTTCTAATGTCACTGAAGCAGAAGGCAAGAAACTGTGGCACTTTTGAGCATTAAGCATAAGCAGTACAACTTTTAAGAGAGTATTGTCCAAATGTACAAGCTAGATGCCTGGATCCACAGTTTTAAACAGGAGTAAGAATAACAGTGCACCAAATAAGGATATAACTAAACACACCAACAGATCGAGTATTCAATGCCCATACAAAATTAACCAACTCTTCCATCACCTGATTGATTCCTCGACTCGTAGAAGAGTCTCACAGTTTGATAGATCAAAGAAGGTTCAGCCATTGCGCCATTTCCATAATCCCCGCATGCCAGCTTTTTTGTGACAGGTGGGATGAGAGAAATACCAAGCTCATCAATTGACATAAGGTGCCGCTCTGTGAAAGGATTTTTCCACATGAAAGTGTTCATAGCAGGAGCAATAAAGAGTGGTCTGCTATAGTCCCATGCTCGCACAACACATGTTAGCAGATTGTCGCAGAGTCCTCCAGCAATCTGTAATACACAAGCAAAAATAGAGAACAAAAACAGTCAAATGAAGCCACTCACAGCAGGTACATCGGACAGTGACCTAAAAATCACACTATTATACTCAAAACAAAACATTGCTTATATATGACACTTTTTTATTACTCAGCAAAAGCACAGACCTTCCAGATTTCACTCCATGTCTTAAACAGAAGGAGCCAGCAGAAATCTGCACAGGATTCATTGCTAGAAATTTTGAAAAATCATGGTAAATACTTCTAATTTTAAGTTTTAGATCACAATGCCAACTTAATAATTGGAAGCGAGATAAGCATCCACAATAGCAATCTAGTGATAAGAAAGCATGCTGTAAGACATTGATATGCTCTGAGCAGAGTGCATAAAGGAACGCAGAAATTGGTTCCTAGTATACAAGCTATAAGACATAGAAATCAATGCATTCAATATGAACACATAGCAACCTAACAAAACAGTGAATTTGTTTCTGATTATTTTGTCAAAATCTATTTCAAGGAATCTATTTCTTTCTCATTCTGTCAATTGTGCATGCTCTCCTAACACATCTGACTACCAATGAAAACATAATCAATAATATGGGAAATAAGAATTCCAAGATACAAAAGGAATTACCTTGCCAAGTGTGTTTGCTGACAATGGGGCAATAACCATTATATCAGCCCAGCGGCGGAGCTCAATGTGTAGTACACTATCACCTATTTTGTTCCAGCTGGACCATTCATCGTCATCAGTGTAAAAAATCACCTCCTTAGGAAGTGATGCTCTATCAATGAAGTGTAGAGAGGACTTTGTGGCCACTGCTCTCACTTCTGCCCACTCTGAAAAACTATGGCAGAGATTCCCAAACTGTATAGCAGCTACACTTCCACTTGCAGCAAGTAAAATATGGGGTTTCCTCGGACCAGCATTCATTTGAATTGTCTCCCTCTCTGCACTCATAGGTTCTGAGTATGCCATAACCTATATAACAAAACGAATCACCATTTGTATTAAAATTTTCATAAAACCTTGAATTATCATACTGTTTGATAAAGAGCAAAAACAGTAATCGCTTAGGTAGACCTCCTCACAGTTTCATTATATACACAACTACGTTTTCTTTCTTCCTGGGATAGGAAACAACAAAAGTTGTAACTCGGATCACAATAAAATATAATGATCAAGAGAATGATTACCAACCTTATAGTTATTCTTGGGTGAAAAAGATATCCAAATAAATTAAACATGCGGAATAAGGACTGACGACTAGTCATTAGCTTGACAAAATGTTAAATCAAGCTGATGACTAGTCGTTAGCTTAACAAAATGTTAATCAAAGCTAACAACTTGTCATCATCCGTCCAGAGTCCAGACATTAAAAGTTTCAAGGCCTTGCACCTAAGAATTTTATCCACCCTTAATGACAGAGATAAAACTATTTTTTCTTCCGTGCAAGGCATCCCTTACTCTTTACAGAACCAAGAAATGAACAACTCCATATAGTCAACAAAAATCAAAATTAAAGTTTTAAAGATTCATTTTCCATCCTAATATTCTTACTTAAAGTCTTATTGAAAAATGCGAAAACAGTTTTGATGTGCCTTGCATAATGTTTCAAAATTATAAATAAGAAATCCAAAGCTAATTTTGTGCCAGAACTCATCGGTAAAACCAACCCTTTCCCACTTCTTAGGCCTCAACAGAAACAGCGAGTCCGTCTGGAAAGGCCATCAATTGAAAGCAAGCAGGTGACCTACACATATTACAAAAGATAACAAAAATATTAAGAAACCTGAAAATTCCAAAGAAGCTTAGCAAAAATATTCATTCAAAAAAATGTGCCATTAAAAACACTCTGCTACACTCAACAAATCCTAAATATTTCTTCTAGTTTCTAGCTGGAAATCGTTAATAAAAAAAGTTATAATCCCATCTTGCATATTCAACCAAAATGTAATCCCATAAAGAGAGAATACAAATCCATTAGCAGTGACAACATCCTTCTTTGAAATAAAAATTCCCAATCAGAAAATCAAGTCAAAGTAAAGCAAACCCATGATGGAACACTAACAACAAACAAAAATAATTTTAAGAAAAAGAAAAAACTTGAAGGGAGAGAGAAGCACACCTGGAGTTGGTTGAAGTCTTGAAGAGGGATTGATGGGGTTTCAAATTTAGGGATGGAGCCAATTCATTAAACAGATTCTTTTTTTTTTTTTTGTCTGAAAAGACCATATTAGCCCTACCTTACTAGACCTATTGTGTGGCTATCAATTTCAAGTTGAAGAAAGCTGCCCATAAATATGATAAAGAGAGAAATTATATTTAATATAGGCCGAAAGACTTATATCTACCCAGGTTTGGCCTATTGGTATCTAAAAGGTTTGGAAACGATAAATTAGTACTTTCCATTATGTGTTGTAGGTGATTTTCGTTTGCAAAAGGATAGTATAGTAATTTTATCTACAACCGCCAAACTTTTAAATTTTAGGGTTTGTTTGTTTTGTTATTTTAGATAGGATTTTTAAAATAGTATTGGTAGCAATGGTAGGTAGAGTTTGGTGATTATTACGAGATAAAATTTAAAAATTAATAAAAAAAACCCCAAGGTTTGCTAATTTGACTAAACACCCTAATATATAATAATTTTGTAAAATAACAAAAGTACCCTCACCTACCCACAGTGCCAGATTCCGGCCATCATCGTCGAAATCTAGTCGGAATCTAGTGTTATAGCGTAGAACAGTCATATGTCGATCTGACCTTTTTCGACTAGATCCACCAAGGATCTGGCCTGAAAAGGCCAAATCGACGCATTATCAGCTAGTTCTGATAGTTAATACGTCATTGTTACAGATTCCAGTTACCACGGATGGTGGTTGCTAAAATCTGATAACTATGGATGGATGAGAGTGTTTTTGTTAATTTATAAATTTTTTTATTGGTGGTGTTTTGTTAATTAAAAACTTATGGAGGGTTTAAGTAGTTTTTTAATTTATGATAGGATTTTAAAAGGGAATTGCTATTCTTACAAAGAAGTCTACAAAGTAGACATATAAAGTTAATCTCCACCCTTCATCTTCATCATTTTTCTCTCTCTCTCTCTTTCTCTTTTTCTGTTTTTCTTTTGGTTTTTTCTTTACTTTGTAAGCTACTTTGTAAACTTTTTTGTTTTTTTTCTTTACTTTGTAAACTTCTTTGTAAGGATAGATTTATCCATTTTAAAATAAGAAAACAAAAGCGTATTTGTACTTGGAACAGAGATGGAATATGGATAAATAATGAACCAAACTCGATTAATGGAGCGAAACTTCTTTGGAAGATTTCGCTTCGGAGATTGACACCTGTCCTCCTAATATTGACTTCGCTAAAAAACCAAATAAACCAAAAATCTTTGGCCTTTTCGTTGTTTGTCTCTGACTCTCTGAAGGAGTTTGTGAACTGAGCTGCTACCATCGTTTGGAGAAAGATCGTGGGAACGAGAAACCATCGACGACAATCAGTGAAATGGAAACCGGCAACAGTAGAGGGTGAGTTAAAACCGCGACAGTGGCAAAGTGAGTTTCAATGAACGGCGACGAATCCTATACGAAGACGATAGGCGACATCTGAGGGAGAGAATCGTGGGGTAACGACGAAAGTGGAGGACGACTGAGCTAATGCCGGCGTTATTAACGGTGGAGGACGAATATTAACGATATAAATCGTTGACAACAACAACAACGGAAACCAAGGGGTTAACGGGGTAGGTAATATTCATCAGCCTTTTTTTTCATATTTCAGTGCACCATTAAGTGGGTATGAGTACGCTGGTTGTTATAGATGTGTGTGTCTGTAGTGTTTTCCGAAAAGTATTTCCCGAGGGAAAGTTTGTTCTTGGTTTTTCTTATTTGTTCTTGGTTTTTTCTTATTTCAGTGCACTACTAAGTTTTAAAGGACAAAAGTAACAAGTAAATTGTGAATTTGAAGCTTTTGTGCCTTTTGCATGTTTGGTTAATTTTGAGGTTTATTTTATTTTTTTTGGGGGGGGGGGCGGGGGGTGTGTTTAGGGTTTGTTTATAACAGAGCTTCCTGGCAAAATTTTACAAGTTGCAGATTAAGACAATTGAACTGATTGTTGCTGGTTCAATTGGATAACGTGTTTTGAGTTTCCAACAAAACGTGTTATGTGATGGCCGATGAGCTCAAGTTTTTTCTATGCAATTTCACAAGAATCTTTTCAGGCCTCACCTTAAATTATTGTACGTTGTGGTAGATTCATACAAATCAATGCAAAAATGAAGTCTTTTTTTAATTGTGTTTGGTGAGTGTTAAAATAATAAAAAATTAACATAGTAATCTGAAGTGTTGTTCTGATGTGAAGAGATCATTTTTTTATCTCTTAATTATAGGCTATTTCTTGTAAACTCATCCTTAATTTCCGGGAAATTGGTACCTGTTTTCCCTTGTTCTGTGTTTTTCTCCTTGATTAATTTGTGGATAACTAACCAATAACTTCTCTTAAATACTAATATCTAATATCCAGGAAGTTTTGGATTATGTTCTGTTGATTTTTCTGGGTATAAGTGTGAATGCAACTTGGTCTTTGATAATGTGTGATATATTATATTGATTATGCATTTTCGGAGAAATTTTTAAGTTAAGAGTTACAGTTGGATGTGATTTTAACAAATCGTTTTCAGAAGGTTCTTTCATATCAAACAAGAAATTCCCGTCAAGTTTTGTGTCCATTAGTGTCTATATACCGCGTAGCATATATTAACCTGGATCTTGTTTGAGGTTTTGGGCAGCAAGTGAGTTCATTTGGAGGATGGATTGTTGTTTAGAATTTGTTCAGACATAGCCTATTGGATCGAGAGAGGACCATTTATCCTCCCTTGTGTTTGATTTAGTCGACTGTTTTAGGTTTATAATTGCTCCTAAAACTCACCAAAGGATCTTTCATTCTTTAACTCATTTGATCTAGTTCATTAATGTATTATCTGCTGTGTTTATCTTATCTTTTAATACATATATTTATATATAATTTAGGTAACATGATGTAGTTTGTAATTTTAATTGAACATGACATCATTTTGTAATTCATGTGCAAGATTTGTGTTTGTAAAATCCTTTAATCAATGGGGTTTGGGTTGGATGGGTGAAATTATTTGGGATGGATGTGTCTCTTCCAGATTTATGGTTTGACAGATTTTCCATGAAGCTGATTCAGAAAACTTTGCAGCAATGCATAAGAAGCTTTGTGGGACGTTTGGAAGAGTTTTGTAAATGATGTAGGAGGTTATTAGGTTGGTTATTTGGGCTGTTACTTTGGTAATTCTTCCATAAAGGATAGGCGTTATGTACAGGCTGTTAGGGGCTGGCTTAGGTGTAGATCTGTTAATATATCAGCTTCTGTCTTTTGTTTTGGAGGGACAAGATGCTAGTGCCTAGTTTTTTTATTGGCTTTTGCAGGCTACTTGTGGACGTGACAGTTTCCTCTGTTTTTTTTGGTTTTGTCTGGTCTCTTGGACCTTAGTGTCCCCGGCTTAGCTTTTCTCTTTTTGTATAGTGTTGTCCCTCGGGAATGCCCAAGGTTGGTTTGTCTTTAGGTAAGTAGGTTCTGTGAAATTTGCATGCATTGGTATTACAGTAGCAGTTGAATTATGGGAATCTAATAGATAAGTAAACTGAAACACGCATCAAATTATGGGTAAAGGACATAAATATCACATCTGAAAATTTTGTGTAGTTTCTGTTTCTTTCAAATAGGTTCTAACTCGGTATCAATTAATTTTGTGGATTTGCAGGATGGAGAACAAGACATTTTTGTGCCTGTTTTTGCAGCTAAGGGTGTGCATATGGAAACTACTAAGTTTTTTAAACGCGATTTGAAGTTTCAGTTGTATATTTTTCGTATAATCACATTTTGCTGTATTGAATTTATGGTTTCTGTTTAAACCATGAAGAATTAATTGATATTGAATTTCATTACAAATTATGTTCTTTTGTATGAATGATTTGCGTACCGAAAAAATTTCAATTTTCAACCACAAATGAGTATATTTATACTGCTGCTTTCTTTGTATATATCTTATATTCAGTTATTCACTTTAAAAATTTGCTACCAAAACAGAGAGAAACTGGTCATTTGTTGTGTCTCATTTTTTACAAACTCAGGGACAAACTTGTCATTTCACTAACTGATGACATAATCGTAATTCACCATGATGACGTGGGTATTTACCTAATTGATTAAGTTGACTAGCTATAAATTAATAAAAAATTAAAATATCAAACTTTTAAGGGTATTTCAGTCTTTTTATTGTTAGCAAACAAAAATTACTAACAACACATGACGGAAACTACCTGTTTGTCATTTCCAAACCTTTTAGGTACCAATTTGTTAATACCAAAACTTTGGGTAGGTGTAAGTCGTTCCGCCTTTTATATATTAAGAAAGGTTCCGGTAAATGGGATTTGTGAAATTAAGTCGGAGCCGATTAGACTTGGCTATATCCTTTTCCAAGGCGGTAACTTATATATAGGGTTAGTTAAATTTAACCCATGAGGTTTGGCTTACAAAACCCCAACCCCCCCCCCCCCCCCCCCCCCCCCCCCCCCCCCCAAATTTTCAGAGACTAACGTTAGACTTCTTCTCTGCATAGATCTTATTGGGTGCGTTTGATTTATTATTTTTGATAAGATTTTGGGGATAGTATTGGATAATTGAATATGGGAGTATTACGAGGTAAAATTTAAAAATTTATAAAAAAACCCCTAAGTTTGCTAAATTAATAAATACCCCAATATATAAAACTATTGTGAAATGACAAAAAGACCCCCACCACCCGTAGTGCCAGATTCCGACCACCACCGTTGGAATCTGGCCGAAAAATTGTGTAACGACATATACCGGCCGGATCTGGCCGGTATTGCCATATGTGGCCGTCACGGCCGAAAAAGGCCAAAGAAGGCCATCTTTGGCCGTCAGATATGGCCGTCATTGACTGCCAGATCGGTGAATTACCGACAAATTTCGGTCAATAATTCACCGTTTTGACAGATTCCGGCTACCACCGACGGTGGTTGCCGGAATCTGGCAAGTATGGGTCGACGGGGATGTTTTTGTTAGTTTTTAAATTTTTCTTCAGGGGGTATTTAATGAAATTAATAACTTTATGGGGTATAAAAGTAATTAAAAAAATAGGGTAATATTTCTAGAATAATCTGCCAAACATTATTTGGAGAATAGAATTGAGAATATAGACAGAAATAATAAGCCAGACACATCCATTGATATCTATTTGCAGTTGACTGACTTCACTATTTGTCTCCACCAGCATGGCTGCATTCCGACTTCCTCTATCGGCAGTCTACTCCCATAGACTACCTTAAATTCAAATTGACGGAGACTAACTATGGAGGTTGAATGACATTTTCTCATCCAAAGTTTAGTGAATATACATTTTCCCACCCATCATAAAAAAATCAGACGTTAGTTTTAACGACAAAAGGGCATTCTTGTCAGTTTGCACAATATATATTATATGATTAATGTTACTTACACTCGTAAATTAAAAACACATAAAATTACCTTCACCAACTTGGGAATTACCCATTTAAACCCCCTATCTTCAATTTCTATAATTACAATAGATGTTTCACTTTTAAAGTATGTGTGTTTCTAAAAAAATTAAAATTATATGTAGTATTTTTTTAAATTATAATAATATATGTCAATTAAATATTTATAAAACTAAAAAACAATATTTCATTAAAATTGTATTTATTTTATGAAATTATGTAAAAACAAATAATTTCTAAAAAAAAAAAACTAAAAATACATTTAATAAAGTCTGGGTGGGAAAATATTATTGAGTCTCGTTAAAAATTATAGAGTCAAATAGTAAAGTGTATTAAAGTTTTTTCGCAACTTGACCCTATCAGGTAACATATTCTATTGATGGAGATTGACTATGGGTAAAAAAATGGCTTCATTTGTTTCAATTCTCAAAATACTACTTCTAGTATTCCCAAAAAAGTTAAACAGTAAAATACCCAAAAACTTTGATTTTTGGGAATACTACTCTCAATATTATTCAACTTTTTTTAAACCCCTTAAATTTGATAATTTAATTAAATACCCCTAAATATTTTTTTAAAAATTACAAAAACACCCCAGTAATTCATATTTACCAGATTCCGGCCACCATTGCCGGAAAATAGTCGGAATCTGTTAGGATGGCGCACTACCGGCTGAATCTGGCCGGTAGTGCGCCGATCTAGCCTTTTCCAGTCAGATCCACGGTGGATCTGGCCGGAAAAGGCCAAATCTAAAGCCAAAGATCTGGCCGTAACAGTTTATAACGACGGCCAACAAACGGTCGTCGTTGACCATCAACGACGACCGTTTGTTGGTCGTCGTTGACGAGCAAATACGGCCAGATCTGGCCGTAGATCTGGCCTTTGTTGGCCAGATCTACCGTGGATTTGGCCGGCAAAGGCCATATCGGCGCATGACCGGCAAGATCTAGCCGGTCATGCGCCAATACGGTGAACCCGACCACCCTCCGGCGGTGGTGGCCGGCTGTCCGTATTTGACATTGGGTTGGGGGTGTTTTTGTTAACTTTTAAGATTTTATTATAGGGGGTGTTTTGTAAATAAACAAATATAAGGGGTATTTTAAAATTTATAAATTCTACATCGTAATACCCCCCCAATTCAACTTTTTTTTAACTTTTTTCAAAAAACTTTTTCCAAAAACACCCAATTGTGAACCAAACGAAGCCAATGTTATTTTCAAAGTTTATGGGTGGAAAATGTACATTCCATTCCCTAAACTTCACCCATAAACTTTGGGTGACAGAATCGTTTAGCCATTGAGGCTTGTTAAAAGTCAAATAGCAAAGTGTATTATAGTTTTTTCGTAACTTGACCCTATCAGGTAACATATTCTATTGATGGAGATTGACTGTGGGTAAAAAAATGTTATTTTCAAAGTTTATGGGTGGAAAATGTACATTCCCTAAATTTCACCCATAAACTTCGGGTGACAGAATCGTTTAGCCCCAACTATGGATAGCAAACTGTTTTCTTGTGGAAAAGTGTAATGCGGCTGGGGATGGCAAATGGACCTGGGTTCCGGGGACTTGCCTCGTCTCGCCCTGTACAGGGCGAGGATTCCCTGTTTTCTCTGGGTATGGGGTTGGGGAAGGTTTAATCCCCGGCTTCAGGGTCGGGCCGGGCCGGCCCGGGGACAGCCTCCCCCGCCCCGCCTCGCCCATTTATTAAATAATATAATTTTTCAATTAATAAATAAATAAAGTGAAGCATGTGATGAGTAAGCAGAAGATGGGTTCTCTTAAGCAAAGATAAAATTATTTATTTTTTAAGGTCAGAAGCTGCAATCCCAAACCCATAATAGAATTTGGAAAGCTGAACATTTTTCTGTTGAATTTTATTTTATTTTATATTTTAGTTGTTGATGCTGGATTTTGACACTAATTATTCGCACGTGCAAAATGCAAAGCATACTTAGAAATTACATGTGTTGGATTCATGAGATTTGAATATGGCGTTGAGATTATATATATTTGCAGAAAAATAAATAATAGATAGATAAGAGGGATTTTTATAGTGGTTCGGATGCTTAAAGCGAATCCTACATCCACTGTTATTTTATTATTCTCTGACTATTTCTATCATATTGCCTGTAAGACATGCAAAGATGGAGAAATACTTTGTTTATAGAGAAAAATAAACTCTCATGTGTCTAACTCTGATATGCCCAGCCTCCAAATGTACCCATTTATACACCTTTGAGGTCAATGTAATGAGTGTTTTTGCAAATTGCCTTGACACATGAAGAGCTCTCATTCATCCTTATTTTAAAATGAGATAGAGTTAGTATAAAATATCTTTGAGGCGGTATGAGTTTGACAGTTAGTACACTTTATCTTTTAGACACTCGTTGAGTTGACATCAGTGTGGCTTTTTAAGCACAATATTAGTAAATGCAAAGGAACTAGAAAGCTGATAATGCTGAGATGGAAATCACTGTAGCCATAAGTTATGCAAATGTTAATTTTAATTTTTCTTACTTTTACTTAACTTTATGAGTGGATGCAATCCCACAGCTCAAGCCACTGTACAAAGCTGAACATTCTTACTGTCATCAAATTAACTAAGTTTAAATAATTTAATTAATTAATCTATAGAATCAAGATCCTTAAAAGAAAATTAAAAAGAAAAAAGAAAAGAAAATAAGGTCAGATTCATGAATGAAGTAAGCTTATTTATCAGAAGAGGAATCTAAGCATTAATGAGTTGCCTTCTGTGATTAGGAGAAGATTATGTCTTTAGTTAAAGTTTGCAAAATTTTTGTAATATTTAGATCCCAAATTATTTAAAATCCCCTTAAATGGGTTGGTTTCTTAGTTTTCAAAATCATTGGCTGCATTTAAATAAGATCATACCTTAGGGGTTACAAAGTTATCCTTTTTTAGAAAATATCACTTATGAATTATCCCTGTTTATATAATTACCCAACGTACATAAACCCATTTTTCCCTAGCACTAATCTTTATCTTAAACTAAACTACACAAATTAATTTTTTTGCGGGGCGAGACCGGACGGGCCAGGCCGGGGATTCCTCACCAACCTCAAAATGGGGACGGGCCTGGGATTGAGAGACAGGGGATGGGCCTGGGATTGTGATTCCCGGCCCCGCCCCGTTGCCATCTCTAAACGCGGCCTTAAGGAAACATCCAGGAAAGGGACATAGAAATAATGTCTTTCTTCACGCGGTAAGTGTTACTTTTAAGAGCATATCTAGCAGAGCGGAATTGTGGTAAAACCCAATCTCCAAAACAAAGCGTCTTTCATTAGACCAACTGCAATGGCTTCTTCTTCTTCTTCTTCCACCTATACTTATCACGTCTTTCTTAATTTCAGAGGTGAAGACACTCGTGACAGCTTTATAAGCCATCTCAATGCGGCTTTATGTCGAAGAAAGATAAAAACTTTCATCGATAACCAACTTATTAGGGGAGATGAAATTTCGCTTTCTCTTTTGAATGCAATTCAAGAATCAAAGATTTCTGTCGTCGTTTTTTCAGAAGGCTATGCAAGTTCTAAATGGTGCCTTGAAGAACTTGTAAAGATCCTTGAATGCAAGAACAAGTACGGGCAGATCGTAATACCAGTTTTCTATCATGTAGATCCATCAGTTGTTAGGAATCAAACCGGGACATTCAGGGATGCATTTTCTAAGCATGAAGAGCGTTTCAAGGATAACTCAGAGAAGCTGCAAAAATGGAGGAATGCTTTGACGGAAGCTGCAAATCTATCAGGCTTCGATTCAAATGTCATCAGGTAACTTACTATCTATTCTCCTAGAATTTGAGCAAAGCAATTCTTCCATTTTTAAACTTGAGCTTTTAAGTTCATTTGAGAGATCTGATGTGGTCCAGAGTGAGATTGTTTGAATTTTTGTCTTACTTAATTATAACTCAATGTTAAAGTTTAATTCTTAATTAAATTGCTTTTACTTTTAAAATAGTAGCTTTGATACATGTAAACTGCCCTAAATAGATATTTTTCTTTAATAAACTTTTTTTAATTACTAAAATATATTAATAAAATTTAAAAATGAAACTGGTCTCCACGTTCGGCGTGGGTTCCAGGGTACTGTTGACACCATTGCAATTACCGTAAGGTGATCTATACGGTGGTGCTGGTATAATGTTCACCATATGCATTGTTTGACCGTAGTTGGCACTGCAGCTAGTGGCCATAACACCAACACCATTGCATAGATTATGACATTATGTGTCTATGACATTATGTGTCGTTGGTGACAACAATCGTCATCACCGTCGGAGACTGACCAATTTAAAGTTCTAAAATATTTATTTAATTGAAGATTATTTTGTAAAGTACTTTTAAAATTTAGATTGATTGTTAGTTTATTATGGTAATTAAACTTTCAAAAGTCAACTTTTGATTTTCAAGAGTCATCCTATCCCACTTTTAAAAACTTTTTATAAAACATATTATTCTATAATCAACTTTCGTATAATTACTTTGTAGTTGTTTGCTTAAAAAAATAATTATTTTTTAATTTACAGTAACTCCAAACTGAGCCTGAGGGGCATACGTTTTTTGTGATTATTTCTTCTTTCGCATCTTCTTGATTTCGAGAGTTCGTTTTTCTTAATCTGTATGTTAGAGAAGTTTCCCATGTTAAAGAAGTGGACGACCTGGCTTATCTGAATTTAACTTACTTTGTTTCTTTTTCTTTTATCTTTTATCTTTTTATCTATGCTTTTGTTTCTGTTTCTGTTGGTATTTATTAGGTCTGAATCACAACTTATAGAAAAAATAATCCAAGATGTGTTGAAGAGATTGAATCATATGTCCCCAAGTGATAATAATGACTTGATTGGAGTAAAAGCTAGCATCGAGAAAATTGAGTCGCTGTTATGCAGTGGGTCAAGTGATGTTTTTGGACAAGGTATTTGGGGTATCGGCGGTATAGGTAAGACAACTCTTGCTGAAGCTGTGTTCAACAAAATCTCAAGCCGATTTCAAGATTCTTATTTCGCTTACAATGTCAGAGAAGAATCAGAGAAAGATAAACTTATTCGATTGCGGCAAGAACTTCTTTCAACTATACTAGATGAGGAGTATCCTAACACAAGACTCACCTTCACCAAAGAAAGGCTTCAATCAAAGAAGGTTCTTATTGTTTTTGATGATGTCACACATTTAAAACAAATAGAAGATTTGATTAGAGATTACAAATGTTTGTGTCCTGGAAGTCGAATCATTATAACAACAAGAGATAAGAGAGTGCTTAAAAACTGTGGTATAGATGAAGCTAATATATTTAATATTGAGGAATTATGTGAAGGTGATGCTCTTCAATTGTTCAATCGGTATGCCTTCAAACAAAACTCTCCCCCCAAAGACTATATTGAGTTTTCGATAAGGGTAGCAAGATATTGTAAAGGTGTTCCGTTGGCGCTTAAATTAGCCGGTTCCTTTCTATTTGGTCGGAGACTACAAGATTGGCAAAGTGCATTAGTTAAACTAGAAAGAACTCTTCCTAAGGATATCCAAAATGTACTAAAAGTAAGTTATGACGGACTAGATGATCAAGAACGTGATATATTTTTAGATATTGCATGTTTCCTTAAAGGGGAGGGTAAAAATGTTGCAACAGAATTCTTGGATGCTTGTGGCTTCTCTGCTGAGATTGGAATAGATGATCTAATTGATAAGTCTCTAATAAGTGTATCAGATGACAAGATTAAAATGCATGATTTGCTTCAAGAGATGGGCAAGGAAGTTGTTCGTCAGGAATCAATTAAATTTCCTGGAAAACGCAGTCGGTTGTGGCACCATGAAGATATCATTCCTGTATTGACAAAAAATACGGTGAGACCAAAGGGAATTAAGTTATTATCTCTATTCTATGCATTTGAGATTTTTAATTAATTGACCACTTAGTGGTTATTATTAGCTTTTATTAATGTGATATTAACTTATCATTTGTACATGATTATTAGGGAACCAAAAGAATTGAAAGCATAAGCTTGGATATGTCTAAATTAACAAAAGACATACACATAAATTCTTGTGCTTTCAGAAAGATGCATCGATTGAGATTCCTCAAATTCTATAGCTCATCATGGTGCTTAGCGAAACAGGTGCATGCTTCTCAATATCTCCAATGTAGCTCAACTGAGCTAAGGTATCTTTACTGGATTGGATGCCCGTTGAAATCACTCGAAACAAATTTTCACGTAGAGTTCCTTGTTTCACTTGTGTTGTGTCATAACAAAGTTGAACATCTGTGGGATGGTGTCCAGGTAAATTTTTATATTTATTTGGCAATCTTTCGATAGTAATTTTTTCCTCAGCATCTTGTTAACTTAACAGAACTTGACGTCATTTACTTTAAGCATCTAAAAGGGATTCCGGATCTTTCACTAGCCCCGAATCTTGAGAGATTGAGTCTAGAATGTTGTGAAAGTTTGGTTGAGGTTTCCTCGTCTATCCAATATCTCATAAGCTAGTTATCCTGAATCTAAGAGATTGCAAAAGCCTTGTCAGTCTTCCAAGTAGCATTCATTCAAGATCTTTAGTAAAGGTTATTCTCTCTGGCTGCTCAAATCTCTTGACTTCACCGACATTTCCTTGTAACATGATACTTCTATATTTAGACGGAACAGCAATAAGAGAATTTCCCTTGATTGAACACCCTTCAAGACTATTTACATTGCATATGGAAAACTGTTCAAGGCTTGAGAGTTTTCCCAGTAGCTTTTGTTAGTTGAAATTTCTTAAATATCTTACTCTCTCGGGTTGCTCAAGACTTGAAAGGTTGCCCGATGAATTTGGAAACTTGGAAGCTTTAAAGCAACTTCAAGCTGATGGAACTGCCATAAGAGAAGTACCATTTTCCATCACCTGTTTGAACAAACTTGAACATTTGTGCATAAAAACTCAATCATTAAAGGGTTTGGTATTGCCTTCTTTATCAGGTTTGAGCTCCTTGACATTTCTAAATCTGAATGGCTGTCGAATCATCAAGTTACCTGACAGTATTGGTGAGTTGTACTCACTGCAACGATTGTTTCTTGGTGGAAACAATTTTGAGAGTATACCAGCAAACATCAAATGGCTTTCCAAGTTAAGTTACCTGTGCTTAAACAATTGTGGAAGGCTTCAATCCTTACCAGAGCTTCCAGGGGGTACAAAAAATGTAGATGCTTACAATTGTGTATCATTGGAAAAATTGTCACCTTTATCAGGTCTATTTGGATTTAATCTCGCCAATTGTTTCAAATTTGATCTGAATGCACTGCAAGACAGTTTGAAAGGTCATCTACTAAGAGCTCAAGAAGTGAAACCATGGACGGCCCCTCCACAGGTCTCTCCTTCACTTTCTCTCCTCTTTTTTGATGTTATTTAATTATTATTATTATTATTAAATATTTCAGATGTTAAAATTATGTTATAAGTGATGATTTTCTTGGTATAGGAATTTTATCAGAGTTGTATTTGTTATACGGGAAATGAAATTCCAGAGTGGTTTAGCTTTCCAGTTATGGGGTCTTCTATGAGTATCGAAGTTCCACCATATTGGGACCGTAAAATCTTGATTGGTTTGGCTTTTTGCGCTGTTGTAGAATTTCCAGATCATATGGCTAGCAAACATTTATATATTTCGTGTTGTTTCAAGACCAGAGATGGTGATCAGATCGAATTTCGTAGCTTTGCTTGGGAAGCCTCTACTACTTTTGAGCCTTTAGCCCTACAGCATGATCACGTGTTCATCAGTTTTCATCATGTTAGGTGCAGCGCATCAAATCAAGAACCTTTTGAGTTAAGAGACATCGAATTTGAGGCTCGTAATGATGAATGGAGTTGCAAGGTGAAAAAGTGTGGTATCCATTTATTATATGGTCATGTCGAAACCAATACAAGTCTTAACTCTGGTGAGGATGAAGAGGAACCAGAACCCAAGAAAATGAAATATTCAGAAATCGTTCAAATGATAGAGAGGTACGTAAGATATTGAAATTTTCAAAAATCCTTCTAATGCTAGATAGCTCATTGACACGGTAAAGCCTCTTCTGTGTATATGGTTGATTTCACTTGTTTCGTTGGTTGCCAATGATTTGATGAACAATTTTAAGTTATGTTTGAATTTATTCTACACTACCAACTCATTAGCTCAGTTTGCAATTAGTTTACTATACATTTGGATGGCATTTGCTCTCTTTCATTTCTATTGCTTACCAATCTAGTTATTTAATGCGTTTCCAATGTTTTTCATTTTATAATCAGCTACAAATTATCTTGAATAATGTTAAGTCAATTAAAATGCAAGTGAAGTTTAGAGTATAGAAATATATATTTGTTTAATTATTTAAAAAAAATAAAATGCTGATAACAATTAGAAGATATCATACAAGGATTTGAATATATCTTTTTTTTTTTGTTTTTTTTGCCTCTCCAATATCCTTAATCCACTCGAGTAATGTTACATTTACACTATTTTTTTACATCATTTTCATTACATTATAATGTGGTATATATCACAATCACACAAATTCTATTATAATATTAAAAATTCAAAATAATTAAAAATTTGTGTGGTTGTGGCATATGTCACATCATGATGTAATGAATATGGTGTAAAAGAGTGGTGTACATGTAGTATTACTCAATCCACCCAATGCGATATAGTGAAAAATGCTCATGTCTTCAGAGGCAATTTATCAACCATGATTTTGGACACCATTGACATGACCCGTCCCGAATCCTCCCAATACCATAGGGTTTGGACGCTCCCATGAGATTGGGGTGATCGAGACGTGTCAAGTAGGAAAACTGTGAAACCCATTTTTGAATTAAAACATCATAAAACCTTCCTTTTGCAATGGAAATAATAAAGGTGTGAGAAATAAAATGAAGCACAAACTTCCTGTTCACCTGGTGGGGGGAAGAAAACAATTTGAAAAAAGTGAGCTGAAATACTCAATGAGTGTAACGTTTTATGAAAACATCATATAACGATAAACATTCATGCAAGGCAAGTAATAACAACTCATGCTTTCTAGAAACATTTCTATAATCATATTTCAAAAATCTTAAATCATCTCATGAGCTAGCATAAATCAATACTAGCTGTTCTGGTATTGTAAGACTGAAACATTTTTTAGAACGTTTTATATACAAATAAACATTTGCATTTATAAAGTTTCCTTTCAATAATATGGTATATAGATCTAAACCATCTCTCAATCTCATGCGAAAACTCTCACCATCACTAGTACCCATGATAAATCCATCTTACCGGGCAAGATCTATCATCGCACAGGTGGAACCACTAAGTCCATCCTGCCAAGCAGAATTCGCATCTCTCTAGCACTGAAACTGTCAAACCCAGCAGAATTTGAGTCGCTCAGGCCGAAAACTATAATCTATCATACCCAACAGAATTTGCATCGTTCGGGTAGAATATCATGATCTGTCATACCCAGTGGAATTCGCATCGCTCAGGCAGAGCCAAACTGGATATGAGGGGACTAGGTACTTCGCGGGATGGTTTGAAAACCACTTCTAACTTTACTTTCTCAATCATCACTTTTCTCATAAAACCTTATACTCTTTCTCAAAAACTTGTTATTTCCTTCTTTATAAAAGACATGTTTAAAATCATAATATTTTATGAAATGAAAATGGGTAAACATGTAATTCACCCAAACCATTCTCAACATTAGCAAACTCAATACATATCTTTTCCTTATTCAAACCACTTGCCCAATTAGAAGTAAAACTCATTTCGAAACATGAAATTCAACCAATACCAAGCATACTAGGACAAACATAAATCATTGAAACATACTTCATAATTCTTTTCTAAGATCAATCAACCAAACTTTCAAGAAATAATAAATCAATATCATGCTTTTATTGATAGCACAATTATAAGGAATTTGAAACATCATTGGAAATAAACATTGCCATAAATTATTCTCAAACCATCTTTCTCATAACCATATACTTTTCATAAATTCTATGCATTTCATCATTTCCAAAAAGTACATAATAATCCCATAACATCTCACGTCTTGTAAGGACGAAAATGCAAGCTTTCAAATATGTTCTCAAAACCTCTCATCATAAAACAAATGCCTCCTTTCATTTGTAAGACATACATTATACTAAAATATCTTATATCAAGACAGGGGTAAAAATATAAGTTTCGCAAACATGTTTCAAAATTGACAATTTCAACCCAAAGTTTCCATCTCTCATGCAAACACTTTTCCAAATAATCAAAACCCACTTTTATCCTTACAATTTCACAATTCAACCATCAATTGTAATAAAGCTCATCTTCAATATATCAATTAACAATTATGGCAAAAATGAACAATAACACATTTTGCAATTCATTTCATTTCTAATAAAATTGGAAAGAAATTGAGATAAACTTGCTAAAATAAGAGTTTAGGATTAGGGTTGTTTTCAAGCTGAACTGAGTCGAATTTTTAGCTTAACGAGCTCAGCTCATGAAATAGAAAGAGAATTTGAGTTTGAGCCGAGTCGAGTCGAGTTGCTGATTTTCTGGCCCGGATCGACTCGTGAAGAGAGGAAAAATTTTTGAGTCTGGCTCACGAGCTAATTAAAAAAAAAATGCAATTTTGTTTGAAAATCATGAGCAGATTCTTCTCTCTCCAATTTATTACACCTTTCCTTTTTCATCTTCTCTCTCTCTCTCTCTCATTTATTACTCATTTCCATTCTCTTCTTTTCACTCTCTCTAGTGGCTCCCGTTTCTCTTTCTTTCTTTCTTTCTTTTTCATTTTTGCCTTGCTCTCTCCTCCAACTCTGACGGTATTCTCAGTGCCTTTTGATTTAGGGTTTTTTATTTTCTTCTGCTTCCTGATCTCTCTCTTGGTAACAAAACCCATGTTCGAAATTGAAAAGAAAATTCAACTTATTTTCTTTTAACTTTCCCATAACCCCTTTCTTTTATTTTTAACCTATCTTCCTCCTCTTTTTGCTTTCTCTTCTTTTCTCTCTCTCTCTCTCTAATGGCTCATGTCTCTCTTCCTTTCGTTTTTAGGGATTTTAAAATTGGGGTTCTTTGTCATTTTTATAAACTTTTTGTTTTAAAAATTTTAGTTTAATCCCCCATACTTTATAAAACCCCTAAAACACTCCTAATAATTTGAGCTTGGCTTGGTTCGTGAGCTTAACGAGCTGAGCCGAGGTAGGCTCAAACTCGGTTTGTGCTCTCTCACAAATCAAGACGAGCTGTTAACGAGCTGTACTCGAATTGAGCTAAGCCGACTTGCGAGCGACTTGCCTCGTTGAACAGCACTATTTAGAATCTTCCACTCAACAAATTTGAAGCTCAACCCAATTGGTGTGGCACTACTCTAAGAATTTCCCATTCTCCTCCTATTTGGCCAAAATTGGGGGAAAAGCTTAGAAACTTCAAATTAGAGAAACTGAGAAGCAAAATGAGGAAAAATCTACGTGTTTGAGTTACCCAAGGTGAGAATTTCTGATTTCTCCCCCAAATTTTTCTCTTGGCTGAATTCTTCCTTCCTTTCCCCCTTTTCTCATTTTTTTTTTTTTCTTCTTCTTCTTCTCTCTCTCTCTCACTCTTTCTTTTGGCTAAAAATCCCATTTCCTTCTCCTTTCTCTCTTTTCATTCTTTTCTCTCTCCTCCTCCTTCTTCCCGTAATCACTTTACCCTTATAATTTTTATCTTTTACTTATCCTTGATTTAATGCTTTAAAAAATGACAATCGCACCCCTTTTTTTGACCAATCATGGAATGCCTGTTCCATGTAATTGAACGCCCATTCCTCTCCTAGGCATGTAATTCTAGGCATGAACGACATCGTTCTGCCCACTTGGAACGTTCGTTTCACTCCAGTAAGTTGTTCCCCATGGAACAATCCCATTCCTAAGCCCGTTCATTCTCTAAGGGATGACTATTTTTGCATACCCGTGAACAATGTATGAGCATCTCCATTTGTACGAGGTTTACAACCATAATGTTTTAATTAGTTTCTTTCTCAATAATAAGATCACAAACCCTTTCATCGACGGTGCTCTATTTTTGAAGATGTTTGTGATGTTGAGTATCTAACTCCTTGGCTGTGTACATCAAATGTTGCATCTAAGGAAAATAATCCTTGATCTTCATAAGTCGATTATGTTGGATTAGTCTCGTCTTCAAACTCACCACCTTCATGTTCTTCATATTTTAGTTCTCTTTCATTATTCTTTCTTCACGTGCTGCATAGTTGTCTTGTATAGAGATTGTTGGAGTACTTATGATAGAATGGTCCTCTAAATGGCTATGTAATTAGTTGACTCTTGATTCATTATACATTGAACATCATGACCTGCAAACTTCGTACACAAGCTTCTAAACTTTCAAACCTCATAAGGAAGACAATATCAAACCCTTCCCTTTTTATTTTTTTAATTTTTTATAACTAAGATGTCTAAACCAGCTTGCACGCATCTTAATTAATCTTCGGAACTCATTGAGCACCCTACAACCCTTCCCTTCTTCCCTTCCCTGTTTCCTTTTTTTTTTTTCCCACGCTCTACATTTCCTCTCCAACTATTCCTCTACACTAGCAACTACCAATGCTTTTTTGTGTGTTTCCATGTAGGTTTCTTGTTTATTCCCTCTAAAGGATACCTAAGTCTCTTTGATTTCACAGCTATGCAAAATACATCTAGTGCATATTCGGGCTTGGAGTTTCTTACCTGCGTCACTTTAAAATGAAACTAGTTAATAAAGTTTTTAACTATTTTCAATCTAGGGTGTAGAAGATCAAGTGATTTCATTTGAATTCACTGCTGAAAATCAGAAGAAGAATTCCAGTGAAGATCCTGCTGAAGACCAGAAAATTAAGTCTGCTATACCTGCATATAACTGAAGATAACAGAGCAATTATTCCACCATCTTTAGAGATAATTGTATAGTTGTATAGACATTTAAATTATGTTCACGTGTTGAAAATATTTAGGAAATCTGTTACAATTGTTTTTATATATAGTGCTGTAACTTCAAAACTCTATAATCTGAATCAATATAGAATTCATTCAAATATTTTCTATCGTGTATTTCTTTACATGGTATCAGATTAGCAGTAAAAAAGACCAATGCCTACAAGCCATGTCTTCCTTTTCTCCTGATTCCTCTACCATCGTTAATATTCAACGCTCTCAATCTCCCTTTATTCTCACTATGTTTAACATAGTCACTGTCAAACTTAGCCCCGATAATTATATTCTTTGGAAGGCACAAATGGTGCAATATTTTCTTAGCCAAGACCTTTTTGGATATCTTGATGGTACCATCCCCAAACCTCAAAAATATGTCTCTATTTCCCATCCAGAAACTCATGTCACTTCTGAAACACACAACCCTGCCTATTCTCAATGGCTACCCCAGGATAATCTTATCCTTAGTACTCTCATGTCTTCTCTCATCGAATGAGTGCTTGCTCAAGTAGTAAATCATACTACTTCATCTGCTGTGTGGCATGCCTTGGATAAATTTTTTTCATCCCGATCTCATGCACGAACTGTGCAAATTCGAACCCAACTCGCAACAGCAACAAAAGGCAGCAAATCTGCCACATAATATTTTCTTTTTATTAAGAAACTCACTAATGAATTAGCTATTGCAAGACAACCTATGAGTTGTCAAGATGCCATCACCTATGTTCTTGTAGGATTAGGCCACGAATATGACAGCTTTGTTGCCTCAATCTCGGCTCACACTGGCAAGGTAACAATAGAGGAAATTTACTCACTTTTGCTCACCATTGAAGCCAGACTTTCTTGCCACCAGTTGTCATCTCCCACTCAACCTACCTCTGTCAATGTTGCCCAACGACAATACAACTCATCTCCAAATCGTGGCAGAGGCGGTTCTAGGGGATAAGCTTGTTCCAATCATGCTGGTTACAACAACACCACACGTAATATTGATCACAATTCAGTAATATGTTAGGTTTGTAATAAATTGGGCCACTCAGCTCGGAAATGCTATTTTCGGTTTGATCTGTCTTACCAGGATCCAAAACCAGAAAATAAACACGTTATGGTCGCTACACCTACTGGCACTTGGGACACCAACTGGCATGCTAACACTGGTGCCATGCATCACGTCACTAGTGATCTCAGTAATCTGAACCTTCGGAATGATGATTATCAGAGTACAGATCAGGTTCAAGTAGGCAATGGCCAAGGTTTGCAAATCTAAAAAACTGGTTCCTCTAAAATTTCTACGTCCAATACTACTTTTGTTCTTAATCAAGTGCTTCTAGTTCCTGAAATTCATAAGAACGTGTTATCTGTCCAAAAGTTTTGTATTGATAATTATGTCTATTTTGAGTTTCATAACAAATTCTTTCTTGTGAAGGATTACTCGGGGAAGGTCCATCATCAAAGCCATCTCATTAATGGACTCTACCAATTCACATCTCAGTCTTGCCGTCTACAAGCTTTCTCTACTGTTCGTGTTTCTCATCATGATTGGCATCGTTGTCTTGGACATGCATCCACACCAGTTGTCAATAAAGTCCTCTCATTCATTAATGTTCTAGTCGAGTCTAATAAAAAGCATTCAGTGTGCCCTGAATGTCAAATGGCAAAAAGTCATGACTTGCCATCTAAGTCTTCTTCTAATGTTTCTTCTTATCCTCTTGATTTAATTTTTACTGGTGTGTAGGGACCAGCATCCGTTGTTTCTACTAATGGTGCTAAATATTATGTTAGTTTTCTTGATGATTATTCCAAGTTAGTTTTCTTGATGATTATTCCAAGTTTGTGTGGTTATTTCTAATGAAACTCAAATCTGATGTTGAATCTATATTTCTTCAATTTCAAGCGTATGTTGAAAAACATTTTGACTCAAAATTAAATCTGTCCAATCTGATTGGGGAGGTGAATTTCGACGTCTGCACAATTATTTTCAACAAACCAAAATAAATCATAGACTAGCATGTCTATGCACTCATCAACAGAATGGTTCTATAGAACGCAAACACCGTCACATTGGCGAGGTTGGCCTAAGTACGTTAGCACACTCAAATTTACCCATGTTTTACTGGGAAGAAGCCTTCCAAACCGCAACCTTCATCGTAAATAGGCTATCTGCACCTGTTTTAAAGCAAAAGTCTCCCTTTGAGATTCTTTACAAGCGCATGCCCGATTTTTCCTTTATGCGTGTTTTTGGTTGTGCATGCTGGCCTAATCTGTGCCTTTACAATTCAAACAAGCTGAACTTTCACTCTAAAACATGTCTCTTCATTGGTTATAGTCTTGGTCATCAAGGTTACAAATGCCTTGATTTATCTACTGGTAAAATCTATGTTTCAAGGCACGTAATCTTTGATGAAAATCTCTTCCCTTATGCAAAGAAAACGTTTCTCCATCCTCACAACATCATTCGGTTCCAATGCCTCATAACATCAATATCTCTCCTTCTCCTAGTTCTAGTGATTTGCAATCTAACCATTGTCTTATTAGAAATGTTTCTGCACCTTGTTTGTCTCTTCCTATAGGTCTAGGTGTCGCTATCACTAACCAGGATGCCATGGTTCCACCACAACATACAGACTTGCTCTCGGATCTGCCACAAAATAGAACATCTTCACCATCTGATGTGCCTCCTATCTCTAATCATCATCCGATGACAACACGATCCCAGAACAATATTCACAAACCTCGCTAGCACTCTAATGAATTTATTCGACATCCTCTACCCCGAGCATTGCTGATCGAAAGTTCCACAACCAAAGAACCAAGATACTTTATAGAAGCATCCAAATCAAATCATTGGAGAGAAGCCATGAACGAAGAATTCAATGCATTACTTCAAAATGGAACTTGGTCCTTGGTTCCAAAATCTCCAAATGCAAATATTGTTGGTTGTCGGTGGGTTTACCAAATCAAAAGGAAAGCTGATGGGACTATAGAGTGTCATATAGCTCGTCTAGTCGCCAAAGGTTTTCACCAACAAGAAGGTATTGATTTTTCCGAAACCTTCAGTCCGGTTATCAAGCATGCTACAATTAGATTGGTTCTCTCAATTGCGGTCACTCATGATTGGCCTATACAACAAATTGATGTGCAAAATGCATTTTTGCACGGTGATCTACACAAGGAAGTCTTCATGACACAACCACAAGGTTTTATTCATACCCAATTTCCAAATCATGTATGTAAGTTGCATAAATCACTATATGGATTGCGGCAAGCACCAAGAGCTTGGTTTTCTAAACTCTCAGACAAGCTCAAATCACTACATTTTCATGAAAGCAAAGCTGATACATCATTGTTCATTTTTAAAACAAAAACTACCACTGTTTATGTTTTAATTTATGTCGATGATATGTTGATAATCGGATCGAGTTCAACAGTCATCAACCGAGTCGTTCAAAGCTTGAAGACAGACTTTGCTGTCAAAGAATTGGGGCCTCTTAATTACTTTCTTGGTGTCAAAGCTCTCAGGTTCCAGGAAGGTATCTACCTTACGCAAAGGAAATACATAGTCAATTTGCTCAAAAAGAGTAAAATGGATCAAGCCAAACCATGCTCTAGTCCGATGGCCTCAACTTGCACTCTCACTGCCTTAGATGGCAAACCATGCATCGATGCAAATCTTTACAGAAGCATGGTTGGAAGTATGCAATACCTTGCTTTTACAAGGCCTGACTTAGCCTTTGCCTTACACAAAGTTAGCAAGTTCATGCATAATCCTCTTGAAACACATTGGCAAGCTGTCAAGCGCATACTTTGCTATCTTAAATATATTGTTTCACCAGACTTGTCAATATCAAAAGCTGCAAATCTTGATCTTCAAGCTTTTTCCAACTCGGACTGGGCAGCAAACCGCGATGACAGAAGATCAGTAGGAGCTCATTGCATTTTTCAAGGACCAAACTTGATCTCATGGAGATGTAAGCAACAGCCAATAGTGGCACGCAGCAGCACTGAGGCTTAATACAAAGCTTTAGCAAACATTGCAGCTGTGCTAATGTGGTTAAAATCAATTTTACATGAGCTGGGAGTTCCACTTCGGCAACCACCTACTCTTTGGTGCGACAACATTGGTGCTACATATCTTACATCTAATCTGGTATTCCATGCCAGAACAAAACACACAGAGATCGACTTCCATTTTGTTTGAGATCAAGTTAATCAGAAACAGTTAAAAGTTAAGTTCATTTCAAGCTGTGACCAGCTCACAAATGCACTCACAAAGCCCCTATCACCAAAGAAATTTACACATGTCAAGAACAATCTGAATGTCCGTGATCTCCCTTTCAGATTGAGGGGGCGTGTAGAAGATCAAGTGATTTCATCTGAAATCACTGCTGAAAATTAGGAGAATAATTCCAGTGAAGATCCTGCCGAAGACCAGAAAATCAAGTCTGCTATACCTACATGTAACTGAAGATAACAGAGCAATTATTCCACGAGATTCTTGCTGATATTTAGAGATAATTGTATAGCTGTGTAGACATTTAAATTATGTTCACGTGTTGCAAATATTTAAGAAATCTATTACAACTGTTTTTATATATACTGTTGTAACTTCAAGACTTTGTAATCTGAATCAATACAGAACTCATTCAAATATTTTCTATCGTGTATTTCTTTACATAAGGGGTCTTGTTTGATTACTATGACCAAAATGGCTGATTAAACCTAGATTTCTTTACAAGATTTTTGTTGTTTCAAAAATTTTATGGAGGTTTTTGTTATTTAATCAAACTTCAGGAGGGTTAGGTATTGAGACAAAATATTAAATCAGTTTAATATAATAAATAAAACAATATCTGACTAGGACATTTTAATAAAAATTCAACAGTATTTTAATTATAAGTAGCCATTAGTAAATATTATAGAAAATGTAAAAAATAATAAGTTTATACAAGACAGTCAAAATAAAAGAAAATTTTGATCGATCATTAACCTAATATTTAAATTTTAATTTATTTAAGCTTTTATTTTAAATAGTATAATATTTTACAAATAAAAACAATTTGAACATATAATATTTATATCAGGATGAGAAGGTTTATAAAAGAATTTATGGCTTATCCTTTTAATTACTTATTTATTAAAATAAAAATAAAAACAACTCTCGAGATATTGTTCAAAAGAAAACAATAATATTTTTAATTATTTTAATAAAGTAATACTTTAAAAAATAAAAAAATTAATTTTATTTTCCTTAAAAAAATCTTTTTTCACTTGAACCCATTACCCATATCTATATTTCCAAAATGGAAGAAAAAAAAAGTGCTTTTGTCTTGTTCCTTTTAGAGAAAAAAAAAATAAAAAATGAAAATAAAACAATAATGGAAGAAGTCAAAAAGTCAACTCTTATAGATAATCATCACAGTATTTTACTCAATAATTTCTGAAAAATTTAACCAGTGAAATTATTTATTTATCTTTTACTGTCTCAATCATATTTCAAAGTCTTCCTTTTGCAACCTTTTTCTATCTTTTTTATTTTTTATTTTTTCAGTTTTGTTTTCAACTTCCCCGATTCAGAACACCACGTTTCTTTCGTATTTTTGCTTTGAGGAACAGCTATGGAGGTCAGGTAATCCTTTTCTGAATACCCTTTTAATGATCTGTTTGGTTGCTGAAAAAATGATGGAAAATTTAATCATAAATTAAAAACCCTAATGTTTCAATGTTTTGGTTGGATCTTTGAGTATTATTCACTATTTTGATTTCTGGGCAGTAATTTGATGTGGGTTTTTGGGTTGATTTCAAAGTTTTCAGCTTTACTTGGAGTTCAGTTGATGAATTTTGATGGGGTTGTGTTAGATTTTGAGATGCTAATATGGGTTCTGTGTAAATTTTTTTTTTTTTTTTTTTGTGTAAATTTTTTTTTTTTTTTAATAAATTTCAGAGATTATGTTTATATGGGTATTTGTGACAACCCTCGAGAGGAATGAGGGATTTTGTTCTTGACTTTGAAGACTTAGCTGAAGGACTTTGTTGGTATATATTTGGGGCTTTTGATTTTGTTGCTGAAGAAGTGATTGCATTTTGTTTAGTTTTGGTGTCTTTGGTTGAGGATTTTATTGGGTTTGTATTTTGCCAATTCTTGATATTAAAGTGCTGAACTTATAGTTTAAAATGGCTTACTGTGTGGTGAAGAACTTGATTTTTCAGTAGATTGGTTGTGGATTGAGACTAGTTTTTGGCGTCAGTAAATGGGTTCGATTCAGAATACTGTTTATTATTGTTCTGTGTCGAGGGGTAACCGGGTTCTGTATGCACATAGTGGAGATCATGAGTTTGAGAATCTGGCTGCGTTGTGTCTTGAACGGACTCCCGCGTTCCATAAGTGGTATTTTGAGACCATGGGTAAAAGGACTTATGGTTTTTTGATGGAAGATGGGTATGTTTATTTCATGATTGTGGATGAGGGATTAGGAAAGCTGGGTGCACTCCAGTTTCTGGAGCACCTGAGAGATGAGTTCAAGAAGGCGGCTAAAAAGGGTTCAAGAGGAAGCTTCTCGGGAATGAATGCCATTGGCGTGCAAGAGCAACTAGTGCCTGTTATCCACAGATTGATAACTTCATTGGAAAATGTCTCTCAAAGCAGCAATGCTTGGAACAGTGAGCTTCCCTTGTCGGATCCTATGAGTCTCTCCCCATCACCTAGTAATGCTAACGGACAAGTTGAAGTTGTTAATTCGACAAAGGCCCCGTTATTGGGAAAGTCTAGCAAGCAAGACAAAAAGAAGGCTAAGGATCATATAATTGCTGTGAGAGATGTTGAGTTGGAGGAGCACCGGAAATCTACAGATAAAGTCAAGGTTGATTCGGGAACTTTGGATTCTAATAACCAAAATGGGGCTGGTTCCTCAATATCATTGCAGAAGGATATGGGTTCAATGAGGATGAGATCAAACTCTCAAAACGTTCGAAAGAAATGGTGGCGTCAAGTACGAATTGTTCTTGCAATTGATGCAGCTGTTTGTCTTGTACTATTTTTCATTTGGTTGTCGATCTGCAAAGGTATTGGGTGCATTCGTTCATGATTGAAATCAAAGTTGTAAGTTTTCGGTTTAATCACTCTAGAGACTGCATATAATAGTTTATAAGAACAAATTCCGTGGAAAGTTAATGAATGGAATCAACGTATCAGTCTCGACAACATGCTATAAAAATCTAATTCTGGAGTTATGTTATTCTACGCTTCTGGTGGCATGAAAGTTTTAGGAAATTATGTGTAGAGTTCCATATCTTTAATGCATATGTATACACAAATTTTATAAGCTCTTGTTTGGGTGTTTATATCACTAGTATTTGCTATTACAGATACATTATGAGATTTCTGTACTCTCTATGTCTTAACTTAATCCTTTTTGAATCCGTGTAAAAAACTTAAATTTATATGTCGAAACAGTCATGTATATTGTGTAAAAGGTATGTCCTTCCATAGAAATGTATCAATCAATAGCACATGATTATAAACTGAAATTGCTATACTGTTGGCCTGATTAAACCTTCTATGCCCTATGGTTTTTATTTCTATTTGCCGTTGTTGCATGTGTTGTATTGTCAGAATCGATCTAAAGACAACAAGAGCATATTTTATTTGTACTTTTTGTCTTAGATCATTGCCTAAAATGAGCCATTATTGAAGCTGCATAGACAGAGCAAATGTAGGAACATGACATCAAAGTGTATAGTCTTTTTAGTTTTGAGTTGGTTTACTCTGTAGGAAATTGTTAATGATAAGATTATAAGAGGCTGTCTTGCCAAGGAGCAATAGTAGGAGATTAGAATTTTTGTAAGGTTTTTTGTTGTAAAACTTAGAGCGAAATATGATGGCTTTTTGTTTAAAGAAATGGGACAATGTAGTCAGGTTCTTTCGACTTAAATATGTAGTTTAAAATGTTGATAAAATTTTTTAGTCTTTGATCTATTGCAATTCAATGGTTGTAAAAGTTATAGGTGATTATTTGTTATACTAATCAGGCAATTTTTAGACCATTAGATTGTAATAGAAAAATGACTATAAATTTAAGTGGATAAAGTCTAATCCTCCAAGCGATAAAAGAGGAATATTCTAATATTAAGTGGTATTCAGAAGAAAAAAACAGTTGACAGAAGGTTTATTGAAAAAAAAAATTAATTAAAAAAAGAAGAAGCTTTTTAAGGGTTTTTTATGCAGATACTTGGTTAATAGATGTTTTTCCAGACATTTTTTTTTCTAAAAAAATATTTAAATTCTTGTCGTTTGTTTATTTCATTCGTTTCCTCAAGAAATAGTTAGGTGTCAAAGAATCATAGTGATTTTTGCAAAGTATTAAAAACACCTCTTATGAAGGTTTATCTTTTTATATTTGTAAAGGCTTTTTGACATTTTCAAAAGGTTTTATGATATTTTTGGGGGTTTTTGGTAATTTTAGGAAGCCATCTAACATTTTGAAAACTTGTTAAGACGTTCGAGACTCAACTATTTAGAGCGAATAAAAACAACCCTTTTTATTTTTTATTTATACGATTTATTTTTCTAAAGTTGGTAAATACTTCTTGGTAAGTCTTTTTAATTAAAACTTTTAGATTATACCTTGTCATTATTATTATTATTATTATTATTATTTTCAGCATCATTTTCCTGTTTCGAAAATCTTCATATTTCAATAACATCATTGTATGCAAAATAAAAAAAATTTCTTACATGAATGGATTAACCCCTTTTAACTATTAAACAATTTGGGTTTTGAATGAAATCTCGTTCGAGGACAGTTTTATTTTTATGAAATAAAAAAATGTAGTTTTCTACTTTTATTCTCTTTGAAATTTGAATGAGTAAAATAATATTATCTCGTCATATAATTGTTCATATTTTAACTCATTAACTTATAGTGGAGAGAATTATGTTTTCATTCTTGTGATATCAGTTACACTCTTTTCAAATATTGGTTGAAATTTATACAGAAACAATACTAGGGCCTAACGTGTTTGTTTATTTGTATAACACATTTTTCATTATTTTTAGGTTAAATAAAGTTATGTGGATGGAGCAACTAAGGGGTTAGTGGGGGGCTCATGACCCCACTGAACTTAGGAAAATTTTAGTTATACTCTATGTTTTGACGTTAACAACCCTTTATATATTTTTTTTTAATCAAAATAGCCTAAATCCAAATATTATTAGAACTTTTATTTTGTTTTGTACATGTAATATCAAATATATTTTTAATTTATTTCTTTTGTCATCAATCAAATACATAAAATAAATACAAAATTATTTTGTATAGTAAAATTCATTAACAAAAATGAATAAATTAAAAACTCAAATTTTCATGGACGATAATATTTGAAATTTTTTCGATTGCCCCACTGAGGTAAAATCTTGAATCTATTATCGTTGACTCAAAAGAACAAAACGATAGTATTCAAAACAGAGTATTTTTAAATAATCATTTATCGAAACAACAAGGACAAAAATGGAATTCTGCCACTTATACTGTTTCAAGATTTTTCTAGTGAACTAAAATGTGGTGAAAAATACCATCTTCAATTTCTTATGTCAAAATCAAACTCAGGATAAGAAATTTTAACTTGTTTGTTTTGGTGTGCAGTGTGCTCTCCTACCAGCATGTAAAACTATATATTTCGCAATATCTAAATATAAAAATTTCAATTATTGTTTGTAATTAATATCTATTAATTTAACAAACATACAGAACATTCATGATAACAAATTCAAAAAATAAATTATATAATTCATATGAAAAAATCCTACATGGATTAATAAACTAAATACTTCAAAAAAAAAAAAAAAAAGAAATTATGACTCTTTAAATTGACTGCCTTGGCTCTAAAATTTTAGAGCTTTTTTGTTTGGTAAGCTTTTCAAGTTCACCTTCTAATTCCCTGATTCTTGTTGAGCATTTCCCGACAGCTTTATAATTCTGAGCTTCACTAAATTTAATAGCCTTTTGTCGTTCTTCGGCGATCTTCTTCTCAAGCTTTTCTATACGTTCGTCTAAGGATTCATTCATCATTTTTGACAAAAATTTCTTTAAGGAAGATTTTATCGTCGTCATTTGTTTTCTTTTAATTCTCTGTAAGAACGATATATAGTTGTGAGGAATTGAGAGATACAAGGTTTATTTATGAATATTAGTTATATTAAGAGAAAATAAATATATTATTTCCTCATTGTTATGAAAATCCCGATTACTTAGTACTAAAGTATGGGCCCAAAAAGGAAATTTTCTTTTTCTCAAGATTAATTTGGAATTATATGATTGATATGGTATATGTAGTATGACCAATATTGAGAATTTGAGATACGGTAATAAATAATTAATGGCATAAATTTATAGTATTTTTCTACATTAGGTAAGTGTAGATTACTGCCGTTAATGTGTAATATTATACTTCCTAGTGTAGCTTGACTAGACATATAAATAAATATAACAAATAATCTGATGTAGGAGAAATATTGTTAAATTGTGATTTGATTTTGTTTTCCTTTATTTATTTGATTTTCTTATTTATTTAAGATTTCATATTAATAATTTAAGTAGTTTTCTATTTTAATTTGAAATTTAGTTTATTTAGGAAAGTTTTTATTTAGGTAAGCTTTATTTTCTTATTTAATTTTTTTTTATTTGTTTCCCTTTTTCATTAGAATTTCTTTTATTACCATTAGGAATAATTTAGTATAAATAGGTTTATTATGTTACAAACAAAGAATGATTTTTCAATAAAATTTCTTAATTGGTTCCTTTACGAATTGTTAAGTCGTAATTTCGACTTCTTATGGATTCAAGATTCATTGTTCGTGGATTTGAGCTACTACACTAGAGCATTTTTAATATCTATCTTCTATTACACAGCATCATAATTTAAAGGAAAATAAAACATTTTGACAGTAGAGATGTCAAATAGATCGTATAGACATACAAAACAAACAAATGCGAATAATTATTTTAAATTTAAATTTTTTTACAAATTGATATGGTGTTATATATTTGATGGACCACATAAATTACACCACATAGTGATGGACAAACTAAGAGTGTGTCATACCAAACAAAGAGAATTAGCCTTGTTGTGCATGGATGAGGTTTCCTTAATCAAATCTGATACGTTAATATCTTTAAATTATGTTTTTACAATTGTCTTTGTTTGTAGTTAAACATAATGCAATTAAGAGGTATTACAAAAAAGTGGCCTACAGAACAATAGATATGGATATGATTTGCTTCTAATTAAGATGTGATTGAATAATTATAATTAACAATTTTAATGACTAATTCCTCTTTAATCAACCTATATAAAAATAGATTTCAAATGCCAAAATCAAATCTGCTGTAGCACATTGACAAATCAATACTCTCTCTAATTCAAGGGTAGTATTTAGAAAAAATTGTTGACACTAGTTAGAAACTTGTTCCGTTTTTTTTTTTTTTTTTTTTATATTTGATGGTGTCCAAACTAACTTGTGTATATCTTAATTAGTCCCCCAGGGCCTGAAGTTAACGGTCAAGTAAGCTTCCAGTGACCATCCTATTAGTAGTCGTGAGGATTTGAATTCAAAACTTCTTGAGTAATACACCCAAGAACCCATGCGAACCGCCAAACTACTTAGAGGTAGTTAACTGATTTGAATTTTCTTCACGGATTTATAGACTATTGTATATATACTAATGTATTATATATTAGAAAATATACAAATTCAAGCGACATAATTGTTACATGATTATATATAAAAAAAGTGTGCTGACTTTATATCAAACAATTTAAAATAAATTAGGGGATTTTCAAGAAATTAGGACATTTAGGGATTTAATGGGAATAATTTTTTATCTTAATCTATTGTATTGTATTAATTTTTTATCTTTATACTTTGCAATTTACTATACATACAAGTATTTTAAATGAAGAGAGTAGTCAATTGAAATAAGTTAAAATAAAGTTGTTATAATAAAGGTCTTGGATTCTCTTTAAGAAATCCTCGAGGTCTTATCTTAGAAGGTAGACAGTGCAAAAGACTTCCTTATTCGTCTACCGTTAATTAACGGATCTTATTTATTTTAGTAGGTTTTTGTGAGTTTAAAAAAGGTTTGGTAGGTGATGTTTTCCAGTAAAGAGAAGGGTTTGTGGAATTTCCTTATAATATTAATATGTAATTTTTCCTTATTAATATATATTTTATTTATAAATAATTCATATGTAAATAATTTTTTTAGCTAATTATTTCTTCCCTATCTTAACAATTAAAAGTAAATTAAAACCTAATCAATAATTATGCTTCACAAAGAATTCAAGAATGGTAGTATTTCACTAAATTATTTTGTTCTAAACGTTGATAAAATACTTTTTACTTTTCAAATTTTATATAAAAATTCTAATATAGACTTTTCATTTTGTTTCTTGACCATCTCAACCATTGCACCAATTTGGTGCAAAATTACACTAAATTGGTGTAAATTTGGTGCAAAACACTATTCCATCTCCAACCCACCACACCAAATATTA